TTGTTGTAGTCTTAATTAATAAGCAATTATACGTTCAAAGTGCTTTACAATCACTTAGCTATTCCTCACAACAGCCCTGTGAGGTAGGTCGACATTATTACCCCCATTTTACAGATGGGGAAACTGAGGCACAGAGAGGTTAAGTGTCTTGCCCAAGGTCACACAGCAAGCAAATGCTGGAGCTGGGGCTAGAACCCAGGTTCCCTGACTCCCAGTGTCCTTGAAACTAGACCACACTGCTTCCAAAGAGGCATCCCCAGACTGGCTCTGAGCACGAACTAAAGACAAATGATGTTAGATGCGGTTTGGGTGTGGTGGCATTTTCCGTGGGGCACGTTAAGATGGAACCTGAGGTGTTGTCTGGGTTGGTTTTGGCATGCAGGGGTATGTGTTAGTTTCAATGGGTGTGTCTGAGCTTCCTGGCCTGTCCACTTCTCACTGCATTCTGGCCTGGGTCAACTGCAGAGCGCAGGGCCGGCTGGTCATGACATACTGGCATAGGAAAGGAACTCTGTCAGCTCAGCGCCAAGGGGCCTGCCAGTCTTTGGGAGCTCGGGCAAACTAGGGATGCGGGACTTGGGAACAGAGTCAGCTGACCACCTTAGGCAGGTCTGCTTCGTCTTTTTATTCCTTTTTTTTTTTTTTTAAAACACTGGCCATCATCAGGAAGTTGTGTTCATTTCATTTCTCACTCTTTCCCTTTCTCTGAGTCTCGGCTTAGAAGGGAAATGTTAAAGCTCGTAAGTCCCCTTTCCTGAAAAGGAGCCACCGTGAGCAGCATCCGTGACAAGCAGCCATGGCTCTGTGGCCGAGCCACGCCCCGCTTCCACCTTCCGGAGGGGTGCCGTGCTTGCCAGGGGTCTCCCAGGGGCCTTGATTTGCTCTCGCCTGCATTTCTCCTGAAATGCTGTGTCAGTAGAATTAAGCCCACGTGAGAGTTTTGCCCTTTCAAGGCCTTAGCCACACACGCCTTCCGACTAACCAGCTTGGTGCCGTAGCTCAGGCAGAGAATTCTAAAGCATCCGTTCAAGCATCTGAAACAAATGAATCAGCCAGTGAAATCCCATCTCTTAGCATTTGTTCTCCTCTTAGATTGAAAAAGGAAAACAGGTAAAAAGTGCCCTCTCTATGGCTTTAGGTGGAATCATGCTTTTAAAAAAATAAAATTAAAACCAAACAAAACCAAAAACAAATCTCCCTACTTTTCAAATTAATGGGATCCTCAAGAATGAGTCTCTTGGGAAGATCTCATTTCCCATCATCTTGACACTTTGAGCCTTCCTGAGAAAGTCATGTCAGCTACTGGCTGATTATGATTACAGCTCTTGGCTGGTGGTAGACCACCCACATCTCCCCATAGCACCCACATCCGTATCCGGAAGCTGGGGCACTGGCTTTAAAACTATTCAACCTAACAACCTAATTCTGTATAGCCAGGAAGAAGTCTTCCCCTTAAACCCAACTTCCAAATAGGTTAAAAAAAATCACTATCCTTCTAGAGCTTTTTTAAAATTAGGATGGAGAGGGGTTCCCGTTGGGTGCCAGGAGATCAGAGCTTGAAATTCTAGACTGTTGAAAGAAAGAGAAATGAACAAACTTTTCTCACTGTGAGTGCTTTTATTTTTCATATCATGGGGCACTGGATTCACTAGGGTCTGTAACTTGCACAGATGTCCCCCATCTAGAAGTATAATGGGACATTCCCCATGCATGGCGATCAGCTGAAAGGGGACTGTAAGTTTCCATGGCTACATGGCTGTGTTCCTTTATTTTTTGCTCCTTGTGGAAACTGATAGGTCATTAGGATGTAGCAACAATGGATGAAGAGCAAATGCTGAATTAAACTCAAGGGAATATGGTAGAAGATGAGTGAGAGAAAACCAAAAGGCCTGATACAGCTTCTCTCTGGCTTTTCTCCATAGAGAAGGTTGGTTTTAATGATGGCGATGGTGGATGGGTGGATGGAAAGTGCACACTCATTCAGACCACAGAAGCCAGAGGACACCAGTGCTGAGCTCTTCTCCATATGGAGGCAAGAGTGCCTCAAGCCACTCCCCTCAGCGGAGAAGGCAACACTGCAGTTGGTCTGAACACAGGGAGACTGAACACTGGGCTCTGTTCAGAGCCAGAGGGTTCAAACCACAGTGCTTCTGTGTGCTCTTGAGAGCCCGCTGTGGGGTACACAGCCCAGGGGCCCATTCTGAAAGCAATTCAGACAGACTGCACTCTCCGCAGTCCCGCACGCACATGCCTGTGTCTTCATTTCTGCTCACACCAAGATGCCATACTTCACTCTCCACTAGCAACCAGCCTGAGAGCCAGGCTGCACCCTGTCATGGGAAGAAGCAAACCATTCCCTGTTCAATAAAAAGGCCATGTCCTGTTGAACAGCAGCTTCCTGTTCTAGTTGTGGTCAGGACGTTTGTTTCATGTCATAATGACATAACATGTCATCAAGGAGGAAGGGAAGCCTCCTCATGTGCTTATTAAAAATGGAGTTAACAAATTGCATTGAAAGCTATTTCTATAGTAGAAGCCCAAAATATGTAATTAGAATTATCCTTCAAGGAGACCGTTTTTTTTTCTTTCTATTTTTGATGCTTGCTTCAGAATCAAATGCATTTCCAGAATTTTTCTGTCAAGATAATGAACACAACTTAATTTTCTAGGCTGTGCACTCAACATAAATTATAAACCTAGTCTCAACTCCCAATGGAACCATGTGAAAATGTGTTGGCATCACTAGAAATATTTAACTTTTGCTAAGGAAATGAAACTCTTTCAATAAACAACAAAATGAAAGATGTTTAGTACAAAGGAATCCTCAACATTGTTTTTATCACAAGATACTGGTCTTTAACCAATAACCTACTGTATGCTGTTAGCACCATCTGAATCTTCAGCCTGAGGTTCAATAAATCCCATCCGTGAAATGTGGGGGTTACTCAGTCATGGATTGTTTGTGCATGTTTTACAACACCAAAAGACTATCCAGACACCAGAACAAGTACTGAAGCTGCTGTCTCACTAGGAAGTTTTAGAGGCTCAGAAAAATTATAAATAACCACGTGTCTAAGTGGTTGCCAAAAATGTCCTCCACAGAAACAGAAGGGTCTCATACCACAGAGCTGATTATATCATGGCATAAGCTATAAATGAAAGACACATTCCCCCTCCAGAAAGTCAGGTTCTAACTTTACCAATTAGGCTCCTAAAATAGCAAGCAATTCCCTCTAGAGAGGGGGTATCCACAGGACTGATAAACCTGTCCAACCTTTTCTTTTAGGCAGATGGCTACCTGAAGGAAAAGCTTTTAGAAGCATATGCAACTTTCCCCCTCCTGGCAGCCAGTATGGCCAAGAAAGTATGAACCAGGGACCTGTTCAAATCTGTAAGCACATCTTTTCAGTTTGTTTCACTTGTGAGCTTCAGTACAAAAGGAGGGCTGTCACATTTTTGAAAAGCAGATCAGTAGGAGATAAATGAGCTTCTACTATATCCCTATGCTCTGAGACAGCAACGAGCCATCTGATTGAGTCTGACCTTAGTGAGCTCCCAAAAGGATATATAACCAGAGAAAGATCAAAGATGGTCTCAAATAGGATTTGGTGTCCACCTGTCCCACCAGCATGCTGTTCTCCCCAGCCCTTATGGCTGTTCAGACAGAACAGAGATTTCATTGTGAATCAGCCGATCACTGCCACACAAGGTCATCTACTAACCTACCATATACACATGCGCCCATATCCCCCATTCGCCATTACTCATGTTCGTATTCTTTCTTGCTGTGAGATCAGAGACAAGCCTTCACTTCCACAGTTACCATTACTTTGAACATAGAACATTTGGCTCTGGGAAAAACCTCCACATTAAACCTTCTCAACGCAACGTTCAGCCACATTTAAGACATATGATAACAGGGACATACAAGTAATTTTAGTGTGAACTTAAACAGAAAAGGAGACATTTCATTATCTTATTCATGATGAACTTAAGACATCCAGATAACAGAGCTGATAGGCTTTGTTTCTGACAGCCTCTGACCTCTGTAGCTCTCCAATCCTGCTCTGAACATCTTTCCCGGTCTCATCTCTCTGCTCTGCCTTCTCCATCACCAGACATGAACCACAATTCCTAGTGCCTCTTCCTGCAAACTGCTATGGCGTTTTCTTTCCCCTCTATATACCTGCTACCTACTCAGAGCTTTGGGTTGACCTACAATTCTATAACCCTTGGATGTGTGGACCCTGATTGGACTAGAGGTTCCTATAAGTCACATCCATACTGTAGAGGTGTGGAGGATGAAGCAGGGGGGACCCAGGTTAGAGGAGGGGAAATGGGCCAGAGCCTGGCCTAGATAGGACAGAACATATCTCATATCTCACAGCATATCTCACAGCAAGCCACCGTGGCCATCAGAAGACAGCATACAGAGACAGCCATACCATACTCATGTACGCACCACACACACACACACACACACACACACGCGCGCGCGCACACACGAACATAGTACACACTAGGAAGTGATGGATGTTACTGAAATGGACCAAAAAACCAGCAAGCAGTGGGGTAAGAAACAAACAGAAACAAAACAAAGCACTTGCGTTCAGATGGAAAGCTGTTCACTGGGCAGCAGAACCCTGAGCCAGGGCTGTGGGGAAGATGGGCCTGCCTACAGAACATTGCCTTTGGAGAAGACTGGAGGGGACAGGGTGTGAGGGAAGCGTTTGCTCCTTCCTGTTATGGCCATGCGAGGGGCCCTGCACACTGGCCGGCTGGTGGCAGGCACAGGCACAATGGGGAAGGCAGAGGGTGGGGGTAGCACTTACCTCGTGGCCCAGAAATGGCTAGTCCACATTTGGGGGAGTATGCAGTATCTCAGTTTAAACAAAATCCTTGTGGTACTGCTCAACCATGAATAGGCAGCTCTCTAGTATTTCAAATAAGCTTGTAACATTGTTAGTGAAAAAAGAAAACAGAACAAGAGGACAATTCACCTGTAGGGCAATTGTGGTGTTCTTCGCAGGGTACTTTCCCACCAATCCTTGTTCTTTCCGTTTCTTGAATTTCCTAAAGTAGTCCTGTATCAGGAAAGTGGCATAGAACTTCCCCACGGTTACCTCATCATCTAAACGGAGAGACCAGACACAGCTCTCCCGAATCAGCACATTTGGACCAAAAGCCTAAACATATGCTTCTGGCTGGGGCTGGGGTGGGGCAGGACAGTGCGTAGGGCACTGATCTCTTCTTATCCTACAACATGGGGCGTTCAGTCTAGCAAAAAGCAAGGCTTTGCAAAGCAGTTAAGGCTTCAAATTAGTCAGTTACATGGACTGATGTTCAATGTTGCATAAAATATTATATTTAATTATGAGAGTTTAATAGAGTAGTGTATTAGTAACGATATGAAATGTCATATTGGTTATTCACTTAAAATAAAAAATTACAAAACAAAATGGCTTTGCAGGTCAGGTTTTCACCCCCCTGTGCATAGAGATTTGCATGTGTAATTACCATAAATATCAAATGCAATTAACCATCCAAATCCCTATGTCTCAAGATAGAAATCTAGAAAGGTGACACATAAGCTCAGAAGGAGAGGAAGTTTCAGAAAAATGACTGCAGATCCAGATTTTTCACACACTGCTCCCCCATCTCTGCCAATAAGTTCCAGAGCCCATTTTTTTGGTTTGTAATTCAGAATTGCTGGTTTTCAGCATTGCAGTTGACAGCTCCAACTAGCCCCAAGTTGAGCTGGGCTTGTTTCTGCTCTGTTTGGAAACAACATGGCTCACTGGGGAATCAGAACTCTGCTGACAAGCTTTATGGTGATGCATGAGGCAGAATAGAGGCTCTGGCCATCTTATGATAAACCACCTAAATGTGCACACGTGACCCCAGGCCTCTCAAGAGTGTTGCCATCAGATCTTCAGCATGCTGGGGTCTACTAGATGGACAGCTTAAGGCCATCTTGGCAGCCTGCCTTGTGTGGACCATGTTGTGGGCTGGAGGCCCCCAAACTTCACTTACAGAGGCTTGAACAACTGCAGGTCCCTGGGCTGTTGGCCAAGCTTCCCTTGCAAAAGTCACGGATTGAGAGCAAGAAGCTCAGCCTGTCTGAATCTGTGTTCTCATTGGCGAATTGAGGATGTCACTTCAAGAGCTGTAAGGATGGCATGAGAGAAGGCATGGAAAGCACCCAACCTGCTACTTGGGTTGTCTTCAGGGCCAAGCACTGCATGACTACAAGCCACGAGGGTTACTATGATGTTTACACTCACAGCAGTACCTACTGAAGTAGATCTTAAAGCCTGACAAGCCAGGGGGGTCAATGGGACCCACTGTATTCACTATTATATCCTGGGTGGGCTCTATTTAGTGTCCACAGGAGAGGCATTGCCGATTTATCTTTCCCACTTGGAGATTACGGGGCCACTTTGGATGGCCTCTCCATCCCTCACTATCAGAAACTGCTCAGTGTTACTTAGTGAGGAGGCTGTCTTGGGGTGGTCTACTCTGGAGAAATATTAAGTGCCTTCTATACATACTAAACCAAACCAGAAACATCTTGGAATAAACCTATGTTACATGTAAAAGCATGAGCCCTAATCTGACTCGGGCTTGCCTAAGCTGTCTAATGATGCATTGTACCTAGGCAAGAGGAAAAGCAGAGCTACTGAGGTTGGGATGGCATACTCCTTGCACTGCTCTTCAGCCTCTGCCCATCTGGATTCAGATGGTTAGTTACCGAATCAGAGGAATTCTGTATGTGAAGTTATATGATTCACCAAAGTCACCTGGGCTATGAGCTGAACCTGAAGCAGTATGCCCAGGATCTTCCCCTCAGCCACACCACCTTCCTACAGACATCCTAGCTTCAGCCACACAGGCCACCTGCATCTTTGGGGTGCCTTCTTCATATTACAAGTCTAGCCTTCTCCTGGACTGGCCACAGTTAGTAAGCCAGTTGCCTGATGAGTGTTTATAGGGAACCCACAGAGATGCTCTACCTGGCATGCCACAGGTGTCCTCTGTACTCGAAGCCCTTCGAAAGCACTGGTTCTACCAGAAGCATACCTCACCCCTTATGCCACACCAGGATGCTGCTGGAAAATGCAGGCCTAACCCTCAACAACCTTCAGCTGTAGAGCAGAGTTAGGGCAGAACTCAAGGGCCACCTGTGTGCCTCCACTGAAATGCTGAGGTAGTGAGACAATGTGCCTAAAAAAGATTTCTCAGTAACAAGTTCTAGCAAAATAGAAAAAAGGAAAGAAGAGAAGGAATAACTGTGGTAAGGCCATCTGGGCTCAGGGCTTGAGAGATGAGGCTAGCTAAGTGGCTCCTTCAGGACCAAGGTGTCAAAGATTCAACTCAAGAAATGAAGGCCTAAAAGCAGGAGAGTCTTAAGAGGTGAGGAAGCTTCTAAATAGAAAGAAGGAGGATCCACACAGTGGCAGTAGAGATGGAAGAGTTCAGGTGAGAACCTGGGCCCATATTTTAAGCTGTGATGACTTGGCACTGATGACCAGAGAGTGATCAGGATGTCTCTGAAGTCAGAGCCCACCAAAGGTAGAAAAGAAAGCTTCCAATCCACACTCCATATTGCATTCCTGAGTTACCTGTTTACCAGGTTCATAATAGCCAGTGATGCCCCACATCATATTCCTACCAGTAAGGCCTCTAAGACACGCCTCCTATCCTTATCTGTCACCAGATCACAGGGGTCTCCATAAGTACCTCAGACCTGCCAGTTTATTCTTCTGCTCTCTGGCCAAGTCACAGTGTTGGGACACTGATGCCCTCACTCTCTGGAGATACCTATGTATGTGCCCCAATGGGTAAACAATTAACACACAGAGGGTGTACAAGGTAATCTTTCCCTAAGTATGTCATGATATTGGGAAGGTTGGGGACTACTGGTCTACCTGAGGACAAAAGATGAAACACAAAGACACCAATGGTGAAAGTAGATACCAAACTCCTAGCTCAAATTGCCCACTGAAACCTGAATGCCACTGTCTTCTAGTGGCAACAGTATTTACATGAGACTCAACCTGGATGGGTGCTATACTAGGCACAGGAACAAAAGCTTCATAGAAAGTCTGGAGCATTCTGTCTCCCCTATATTCATATAGCAATATAAAGAAAAAGCCAGGCCAAACTACTGGACTGAAAAAGGGAAAGGATATTTAATCTTTATGAGAAGTTTAGTAGAGCCAACAGTTGGTCAACTCTTCAAAGGGATAGACTTTGGATGATGAGCCAAGTTCTTGACTTTTTTCCTCCCAGAAGATGAAAAGAAATGAAGTTTCACAAGAATGCAAACAACACTCTCTAAAAGTGCATCTTGTGAGGATGAGCATTAGTGTGGAGGTAGACCAGTCATAAGGAAGGTGACAGTTCAAAAGAGACATAAGGTTGAGTGAGAGCAGTGCAGGGGAACTTGGGCTCCCAAGGAAGGTTTACAAAGACAGGCAGAGCCCACAATTCTGAAGCATGCATCTGTATTTCAAGAAACATTGTAGGGGAATTCATTTGGCAAGAGATAACTCTGATTCCATGCCACCACCCTAAAACAGAATTGCTTCAGAATATTCTGAAAGACTGAGTGTTGAAAGGAATGGAGGCTGCAGAAAAAGCTTAAGCACATTGTTACAACAATTTTAAAAAGCAAGTTATCTAAGCCATGCGAGCACTTGGATGTGCAGCTGAAAGGAAAAGAACAAAAATCAAAGAGGAGTTTTAAATGTGCAGCATCAGTTCTCCTGTGGGGTGTCCGGGTTCTCTAGGTGGGACTTTTATTTGCTTTTGTCATTTCTTTCTGGGCCATTGTCCCCAGCTTTGAGCTGGTGGTGGCCATTCCAGATATGGGTGGCTCCCTTCGGTGACAAAAGCCCATATTCTGCTTTTTGCTTTATCCGAGGAGCACAGCTGGCCAACATACTGTTTTCTCTGTCCTCCAAGAACCATGGCTCATCACCTTCTCAGGGGGAGATGCCTTGCAACCATGTTGGCCCAGGTTCTGGAGTCAGCTCCTAGAACTGAGCCAGACTAGCCTCAAAAGCCACAAAGACACTTTAAGAGCATCACCGGTTATAAGACACACCAGATTCTTATCATGTGCTCAAGAGGTGGCTAAATGCTGGTGGAATGTCTCTGGGTGAGAAGATCCTGCACCTTTAAAACTTGAAAACAAAACAGTCCAAAAGTAACCATCTTGACTTCTAAGTGCATGTGTATTTAAACAAAAATGGAAAACAGTATATAAATATATATAATATACATGTTATATATTATATATTTTAAAAGTTTAGTCAGTTAATTTGTGATAAATAGCAAAAGGAAATAAGCATGCTCATTAGTTCTGTCTCTAAATTTTTCTTAAAGGGACACTTTTGGTAATTATGTTGGCAAAGTTGCATTTTGAAAATACTGTTCCTGAAAACTACCTATTTTTCAAGCGAATATTTCAACAAAATGTTAAAGGATAACTGGCAACTAGTTTGGAATATTTCTTTGTGAACAAAAGTACAGGCTTTTCATTTTGCAATAGCAATCTTGTTCTCTACCATAAATTCCTTCGTTAATAAGGAAACCCTTGCTCCAGCCAGGTGAGGCTCAGATTCCTCCCTTCTGAAGTCTCCTCTGGGTCCCAATGGTCTTCATATTGCCCCCAAATAATTACATTGAATGATCAAAGGGATCTAACATTCTGATTCATAAAGCATCTTGCAAATACTCTCAGGGGTTTCTGGAGATGCCATCACTAAAACCAATGACTTGGCCAAAAGCTACCAAGGAAATAAATGACACTGACCACCAGCTGGAGGGACAACTTGGTCAAGTAGTTTCATGCTGGTTTTCTTCCAGATTTTCTTTATCACCGCTCGAAGTTCTTCATTAGCTTGTTCCAGGTTCCCTGAATCCAAAAAGCAAAAGGGGAAACAGCATTGTTTCTGTTTCCCTCTCCCTTTCCTTGTTCTCACCATGATGTCTTGGCCCTGTCTGGCCTAGACTAATGCGCTACTCTCTGATGGGGCTCTCCATGCTCAGTGCCAAAGTTCTTCCTGTATTCAGGGTCAGTCACAAAGCTTACCCAATACAAAGTCCCTGCACAATGGGAACACCAGTGTTTTACCCTAGAATTCAAGACCTATAAACTCTGATCCCGCCCATCCTACCCTCTACAGTCAGGACCTATTTCTTCCTACTGCTCCTAGCCCAGAAGGTCTCTTCCTCCTCCACTGGCTGTTCTGGCCCTATCTCTACTTTGAATATTACACCTAAATTCCACCCAAATATGACTTTTCTCAGTTTCTACTACATGTACTCATCTCTGCCACACAACTGATGTTTTGTCCATGAATACCTCAATATGTAAGAGTATGCCTTTTGGAACCCTTAAGTGAACAGGCCTGTGGCCAGGTTCCAGATGAGAAAGTGACAAAAGGAACATGTTAGGCTGGAAGAGAATGGCTTTGCTAAATAGCCAGCAAGCTATTGAGCAAGTTGTGAAAATCCCCTGTCCCCTGACTCAATGCCCCTTGCTGCCTCCTCTCTCCTGTCCACCTCCTCCTTGCAACCTCCTTTCCAATCTACCTCTGACGTGGTTAACCCCAGGGTCGACATTCCAATACCTGTTTTGACAGGTCTGAGCAGGGCTGAACGTGGCATGAGGGTCAAGGGTCCTGCTGGGAAGATGTGATTCTTTTACAGCTTCCCAAGTACTGATTGCATTCTTCAGACATTACCCCATGCTTCTTCAGAAATCTCCCTAGAATCCTTTTATTTAGTCACTTTTCACAGGGAAAGAAACTATTGCTAAGAAGGGTAAACTCCCTCACACCGAAGATCAGACTAGGAAGAGACATCTGGTGTAAGTCTATTTGTGATGGCTCTGTCTCTGCCCCAATACCGTCCCTATATTCCCAACTATGTAATAAGCAGTAGGATAAATCCAGTCAGTGCATCCTGGGACCAAGTGAAGAAAAAATAAGGACAGGAGGGAGGAAGGGGTGACCAGGGGCCTGGTACTCAGATGAAAATCTGTATTTTGCACTCAACATCTTTCCCAAGGGTCTTCCCTTCACCGAGGCAAAGTCCAGATAGAGGCAGTGTTTCCCTCTCCCTCTACCACCTGTCCTGCTCCTAGGGAATGCTCACCTTCAGTCTTGATCTTGAGAGCTGTTCGGACCAAAGCAAATAAGGTTGCATTAAACATGACAGTCCCATCACTATTGAGAGGCATGTTCATGGCAACCAATCTCTGTAAGCGGAAAGAAACGTCCTTTAGGAGAATGAAAATACTTGATAACAGCCACATTCCTCTCTACTTTATTCTGGTAATCCCTCATGCCTTTTCTAGTCAACCTTCCATTGAAATTACAGCCCTTTGAGAACAGCTTTGGAAGGAAGGTATACCTCACATAGGGTTTTAGAGAGCATGGTTCCATAGAGAAATGACAAAAGCAGAATGCAAGATCTAGATCCACCTTGGATGAAGCCTCGGCCTGATGTCCCAGGAAAAGAGCCCTAAGAGTAGCCATGACATAGCACATGTCACCATGTACCCCATTACCCAAGCAAGGATATGGGTGCTCCTTCTCCTCACTCAGCCACATGGTGTTTCTGTTCTACTTCCTCAATAGATCTTCAAGCGGCCCGCTCCTCTCTCTTCTCACTCCCACAGTCCTCCTTCAGGATCTCCTAGTTGGTACCCTCCTCAAGTCTCCTACTCCACATAAATGGAGTCAGCTCCCTCAGATGGAAAACTGAAATCCACACTTCCCTGACTTCCCACAGGATTTAGTGTGGCACAGAATGCTCTTCACAACTAGACTCAGCTTGTGCCTGGGCCCCTTTGCCACTTCTTGTATTCTAGCTAAATGGTGACCTGATGATTTACTAATGGCTAGTTATTAGGTCCATTCTCCTGCCTCTGTCTCGGTTCTGAGTGCCCACATTTTAAAGCACTTTCTGCCTCTGACAAACTCACACATCTCCTGCTTTTGTTTGTATTTTGTAGTGCTGGGGATCAAGTCTAGGACCTTGTGCATACCAGGTATGAACCTATCACTGAGCTGTATCCCCAGCCCCTGACACTTCCCCTGGACTCCATCCCACCAACCGTCCAATGACTAATGACAGAATTATCTTTCTCCTCTTATTACTGCGTTCAGGTTCCATAACAGTTGAGGGAACCTCAAAGGCAGAAGCCAAATATCACTCATCTCTGAATTCCCAGCATCTCACAGAAAACTCACAGTTAAGTGTTATTCAGTGAGTGTCTGTTGCACTGAACAGTGAGCTCCTGCATTGAGGTTACCATACAAACCTTGCATGCTACTCTGTGTGGGCACAATTTCCCAAATCCCAGAGGAGGCTGGATACGTCGGAGCAAAGTGACCACGTCGAGGTGTTTTATTCTTCCCCTGAAAGCAAAATACAACATGAAGTTAAAGGGAGCTTTCTATTCACCCCTCCTTCCATAAAACTCACAGCTGACATTCCAAAACAGCCCACATGAAAAGCCATCTGGATTCATTTTCCACCTACTTTGCCTCAGGATCATATTCTGACCATATTCGTTTAAATTCATCTAAATGGTGAGGCCCCAAAATAGACCAATCCCGGGTCAGATAATCAAAATTGTCCATGATGACAGCCACAAACAGATTGATGATCTGAAAAAGGCAATCAGAAGGAAGGAGTTTTAGCTATAGGAGGAGGATAGACTTCTTAGACTTGACTCTCTAGCATGTGCTTTTTGAACATGTCCTTTTAAAATTATATATATATATATATATATATATATATATATATATTAAATTGTGAAAATACTGTACAGAGGGGTTACAATTACATGAGCAAGATAATGAGTATATTTCTTTCTTTCTTTCTTTTTTTGGTAGGTTGTGGGCTTGAACTCTGGGTTTGGGTGCTGACCCTGCACTCTTCAGCTCAAGGAGAGCACTCTACTGCTTGAGCCACAGCACCACTTCTGGTTTTCAAGTGGTTTTCATTGGAAATAAGAGTCTTACAGGCTTTCTTGCCAGGGCTGGCTTTGAACCATGATCCTCAGATCTCAGCCTCCAGAGTAGCTAGGATTACAGGCATGAGCCACCGACCCCCAGCTCTAATGAGTACATTTCTTTTTTTTTTAATTGTGAAAATACTGTACAGAAGGGTTACAATTACATGGGCAAGATAATGAGTACATTTCTTATCAAGCATTGCAGCCTCCTCCTTTGTTTACCCTTCACATCCCTTCCCAGCCTCCCCCTGCCCCCCCCCCCCCCACCAAAGTTGTAAAGTTCGTTTTTGACATAACGACTTGTACATCTCATTGCTGCAATGGGTCCACCTGAGTACATTTCTTATCAAGCATTGTTGCCTCCTCCTTTGTTTCCCCTTCCCATCCCTTCCCATCTTCCCCCTTGAACACGTCTTTCAGTCCCCAAAAAGATCATAAATATTCTGCTTTTGAGAATGCTTAAGAAAAGGTCAGGCTTCTAGCTTTCCAAAATGGCTTGGTATACTCTTAAGAGAGGGCTGGTGGATACATTAGCTGGTGCTTCTCAAGCACACTACAATCTTATAATTTATGGCTGCCAGCTAAATTTTAGAAAGGTACCAGAAGCCCTAAGCAGCTGGGATGACTGGCAATGCTCTTAACCTATCAGTGAGCACTCAATCCCAAGGTGATAGTTATGTGTGATTAAATACCCTCACAAACTTCCCAGTGGGACTAGAGGGCCAACCATTTCATAGCAAATTGAAAGGGCGCATCCCTGATCTGATTCCTAAATGCTTCACAAGCCCTGTAAACAGAGGACAGGAGCTGCTGTGACTGCTTACCAGAAATGCACAGAGCATGTAAAAGCTGATGAAATAAACAATGGCAAAGTTGCTCCCACATGTGTATTCCTCTCCAGGGTTGTAATCTGACTCAGGATCACAGAGCTTTCCTGGGAGGCAGGCTAGCATGATCTCCTGCCAGGCCTCACCTGTTGCACACCTTTTAAGATGAACAAAGGAAATGATTTTAGTGAGAGAAAGGGGGACTGAAGATTACAAACTTTGGGTAGGAAAGTAATATATTCATAATGACTTTGGTGGCACTAAGGTTTGAACTCAGGGCCTCACGTTTGCTAGGCAGACATATTACTACTTGAGCCATGTCCCCAGTGGAGGAAATACTTTTTTAAATATGTTTTTTTATTATAAAAATACTGTATAGAGGGGTTACAGTTACATGAGCAAGGTAATGAGTACATTTCCTATCAAGTATTGTTGCGTCCTCCTTTGTTTTTCCCCTACCATCCCTCCCCCAACCTAAGTTGTAAAGTTAATTTTTCAGCATGGTGTCTTATAAATCTCATGGAAATTCTTAATTGGAGCCAAATCTAAGTAAGTACTTTGAAAGAAGCTGAATTGAATTAGGAAAATCTGAAATTCCTACTCATTTTTCAACACGACTTAGCTCAGTTACTAGAGGTTCTACTATGACACTCCCTGGTTTTAAGAATCATTTGATGCAGGTATACCAATTCTTTTGCACAAATGGGTGTTTTTCTATCTTCTTTACTTCAAACATACATATTATAATTGTTTAATGATTATCCTTGATTAAATTTGTTGAAAGCAAAGAGTTGGAGACCACTTCACTTGTGGTCACTGGAGTCATGAGAAATTACTTCCATAGTTTCAAAAAGTTTTTTCCTGTGAGGCAGGTTTTTTACCAAGTTAATTATCTAGGGTTAGAAATAATCCTATAGAAATTGAAACTGTACATCTTGGGTTATCACCTATTGGCTGCACAAAAGGTCTCCATGTTTCTGCTAAATTTCTGTCCTTCTGATTGTATTTTGGTGCCCTTTTTCACATATAAGCATTTATCCAATTTTCTTGGTGGTCTATGTAGCTTTACTAACTCCCAAATAAATAAACCTTAAGCCAGTCACAATCTAAACATCTCTGTTGCTGAAATGCTAGGAGTCTGTTTAAGAATACAAAGCAATCAAAAACAACAAGCTAAGTTGCTGGGGGGGGGGGGGGGGAAATCACACTACTTTGGTAATAAACATCCTCTGTCTTCAGAGCTGGAGACAAACTGGACTACCTGCCCAAGGGCACAAATTCAGTCACCTGAAGAGCAGCAACACTGCCTGGGGAAACGTCTGGAAGTTGTTGTTCCTATTGATCTGGTTGTTATCTCTCATGGCAACTTTTCCAAACATCTAGGTAGAAAAGTTATTAGAAAAAAAATAAGAAGAGATTTCATTATTGCCATAGTTTGTATCTCAAAGGCTCATGTGTTAAAGGCTTGATTCTTAGGGTGATATTGTTGAGGTGAAAACTTTAAGAGAAAGAGACTAATGGGAGGTCCCTGGCTTACTGGGGGTCAAGAAGGGGAGAGGGATTTATGCCCTCAAAGGGGATTTTGGAATTCTGGTCCTTTCTCCTGGTCATAAGGTAAGCAATTGTGTTACACCATAAGCTTCTGCCATGATGGGCTGCCTTGCCACAAGCTCCAAACAATGTGACCAATTGATGACAGAGTAGAAGGGTTAGACACTCCAAAACTGTGAGCTAAAATAAACTTTTTTCTTTATAATTGTCTCTAGTATTTCACTATAGTAATGGAAAGTTATCTAACAAATATATTTTTTAAAAGCAGAATTCTTGTGTGAATTTAGAACAAATTCTGATTGGATCTACAGCAAATGGGGATTTTTCAGGATACCTGGCACCTCATTCATTCAACAAAGATCTTCTGGGCATAGCCAGTTGCCAGGAGTGTGTTAGACACCTGAAAAATGGTGCTCCAGACAGGCACATTCTTACATTCAAGGAGAAACTACAAAGGTAATAACACAGTGGCAATCTTGCACAATGAGCGGTGAAGTGGTTTAGATCCAACAGGGAAGCGGGGCGCAGGTTCATCTACCCAAAGCTAAGAGGTTGAGGGTCAGGAAAAAGTGACAGGGAAATAGACATGGAAGCCTAGAACTGAAGGTTAAGTAGAATGAAACCATGAGTGATGAACAGACTGAAGAGCAATGGGGCTGGAGACAAAGGTAGAGCTCATGAACCTCATGAGAGAGTGGGCTTTATCTGAGGCAATGGAAAGTGAGCAAAGAGTCTTATGCCTGACTAGTGTCTGCTGGGAGAATGTGGGGTGGGAGAGGGCATACAATGCGGTTTGCAGCTCCCTGAGAAGACCCTTTGGGACACACAACATCACATGCTGCTCAATTACAAGGGCTCAAGTATGATGAGTCTTGTTTTATAATTCCTAGAGTCCTGCAAGTGCTTCTATGCCCTCAGGATAAAAAACACCACCACCTCTCTGCTTCTAGAATCATTTCACCTTTCCTATCCTTCCCTAATTAGAAAGACAAGTGGAGAATTTGTAAGGAGATATAGAGGTCCAGAGACATATGCTACCTTCTATTTCCCTCTACTCACAGAAGCTCTCTGCCTTCAACTCAGCTGCCCACATGGTATTAGAACCCAGCTGTTAATGAGGTAAAATCCCTTCTACAGCCCCCAAACGACTGGGGGAGCATGCTGCAGCCTTGTTTGTAGAGCAAGGTCACAGAAGAGCCTGGTTCCATTCCTCTTTGGAAAGGTGAGCCACTGAAGGTACCACACTGACAAATAGGGTTTCCTCTTCTGTTGGCTCTCCTATGGCATAGCACAACTAAAATCAGCTGTGGGTTTTCTCCAGCAGTTAATTCTCCCAAGACACAGGTGAGGCAGAAGTGTGATGACACAGATTTTCTTGCAGCATCTTAACCTCTCTGCATTCTTCTGGCCCTGGTCTTTTCTTGTCACAGGCTCTATTCCTGGGAATTCTATCTTTCTGCCCTAAAGGGCCACAACTATCTCAGTGCTATCTCTTCAGCTAGCAAGGCATCTGGCTAAAAAAAATCAAAACCTTCTTTCTATTTTACCTAGCTAAGGTACATCCTGACACAGATCTAGAGCTATCTAGCAAAAGAGTCCATGAGGGAAAGGGAGCTGACACTCACCTGCATGCCGATGACTGCATATATGAAGAAGAGCATGGCGATGAGGAGGGCAACATATGGGAGTGCCTGCAAGAGAAGAAGCACTGGAGTTGGCACTGGACACCTGCCCTGGTAGCTGCTCAGCACAGCAGGAAAGGCCCACATGGGCCACACGCTTCTGTTCTTTTCCACATGTTATGGTGAAGGGACACAGAGGGTGAGGGAGAAAGAACTTCTTTAATCTTGGCCCAGCACAACTGCTTCAGTCCTACCACCTGCATGGCTAGTCTTCTCCTGTTGCTGGCGCCATGTGCTCTCCGTGGTCATTAACACTTTGTGAGCTCTAAACATCTTCCACACAGACACTCACAATGAAATTTGAGTTTATGATTTGAATTCTTTGTGAAATTGTAATTGGTAAAACCATTCTAAAACACTGGACATTTGCGATGCTTTCACTTGCTCTTGTAGGCATGTGTGTGACTTATAGGCCATATTGCAAAAAAAAAAATGCCATTATATAAAATAATCTTGCCTCTGCTAGAATGTTTCCTTCTGGTGAAGTCTTATGAGTGGAATTACTGAGTCACAGTTGTTGCTGTAGGGTGTAAAACATCTTCCTTAAAATAAATACCTGAAAGAACTATAAAGTTAAGGGCCAGGCCAGAGAAGAAAAGGAGCTATCTGGGTATCCACTAGGTCTGAGCTTCCTTTAGGAGTATCTACACAAATATGTGTGTGTGACCAGACCCCAATCCTTTTATCCAGTATTCCTCCATTGCTTTTCTCCCTTGTAACATGTGATAAACAAGTCCATGTGTATAACACACCTCTAGTGCTGTCGGCTTCATTCCAAGCACTCACAATGCTTTTCTTTCTCTTCTATCCAAGGAAGCTCATCAGAAGCAGTGGCTAGCAGACTTATAGGCCACTCTGCTGTGGATCTGTGATTGCCAGCATGGCCTAGGACCACAGCTCCATCCCCTTAGCTGAGATGCTTAACAGAGTCCCACAAGGTTAAAATCTCTACCACACTTCTCTGTGTTTTCTTCTTAGATTACCAAGTATTAAAATTTTTTTCTTGGCACAATCATACAATATATGTCCATCATTGTAGGCATGAATGAGAACAGAATAGTGAAACCCAATAAAGATTGTAAAAAGGGGAGATGAGATGAGATGGATAGTAAAAAGTAATAGAGAGAGCGAATAGAACCAAAATACATTTTTTTTGGTCAGTCGTGGGGCCTGAACTCTGGGCCTGGGCACTGTCCCTCAGTTCTTCAGCTCAAGGCTTGCGCTCTACCACTTGAGTCACAGCACCACTTCTGGCTTTTTCTGCTTATGTGGTGCTGAGGAATCGAACCCAGGGCCTCATGCATGCAAGGCAAGCGCTCTACCACTGAGCCACCTTCCCAGCCCAGAACCAAAATACATTATGTGCATATATGGAAATATCACAATGAAACTACCTTGTGCAATTAATATAGGCCAGTTAAAAAATACTAAAACAAAAGATTTCATTGACTCAGTTTCTCAGTGTGAACTCTGTGTTATAACTAACATATTTACCAAATATTTTAAAAAGTTTATCTATGTGAGATGGCTCATGCCTGTAATCCAGCTACTTGGGAAGTGGAGATTAGGAAGACTACTCTGAGTCCAGAACAGGGGAAAAAGTTCTCAGGTCTCTCAAAGTGCTCAAACAAGCCAGATATCATGGTTTATGCCTGTAATCCCACCTATACAAGATGCATAAGTAGGAGGAATTTTGTCTGAGGGAATATTTTGATCCAAGGCTGGCATATATAAGGCACAGACTATCTTAAAAAAATAAAGGCTGGAGATGTAGCTCAAGTGGTAGAGCACTTGACTAACAACCATATAGCCCTGAATTCAAACTAGCACTGCCAAAAACAAGTTCAACACTTCCTTAAAAAGAATAAGTGACACAATTTGGGGGAAGGCTTGGAGGGGAGGGAAAGTGGGAAAAAATGAGGGAGGGGTACCAAGTTTGACAAGAAATGTACTCACTACTTCACATAGGAACTGTAACCCCTCTGTACATCACCTCAATAATAAAATTAAATTAAAAAAGAATAAGTGATATTATTGAAAGATTCTATTCTTACAGCAGCTCATTACAAGCTTTGGCACTTCTCCTGAATAATTACAGTGATGAGGGATTTCATGGCTCATCCTCATCCTTAGCAGGACTGGGATTTCCCTTCTCCTCCCCTTTGCCTGTTCAAATCCTACTCATTTTGAATAAAAGCTTACTGGGATGTTAATACCCAGAGGTGGTGAAAGGTAAGCTTGAAGTTTATCTTTAGGTAACTTCATTTATTCACATAAACATTTATGTTTCAATGAAACATAGACAAGTAATAAAGAAAGTAAATGACTCATCTCCTAATGTTTGTGTGTAAGCTACAAACCTCCACATGAATGAACCTTTTTTGGTGCCAGTCCTGGGCTTGAACTTGGGGCCTGGGTGCTATCCATGAGCATTTTTTGCTCAAGGCTAGCACAATACCACTTGAGTCACAGCTCCATTTCTAGCTTTTTGGTGGTTACATGGAGATAAGAGTCTCACAGACTTTCCTGCCCAGGCTGGCTTTGAACTATGATCCTCAGATCCCATCCTTCTGAGTAGCCAGGCTTACAGGCATGAGCCACTGATGCCCAGAAGGTGCACTTTTAACAAGAATTTTATTCATTATTCTCAACAGATTTGGTCCCTAAAACACAAATATTTGGGATACAGTATTAGAAGTACAGAAGCACTTGGTTATGCTCAAGAATAAACTAGAACTAGGCTGCAGCCTGAGGAATGACTGTTGAAAAAGGAATCCTGGCTTATGTCAAAATGTACTGAATCTGATCCTGCCAGGAACTGAGTAATCCATAGACTGGTGATGGTGCTATGGCCTAGGTAGCATAAACTAGTGTATAAACTAGACTAGCTGTCAGAACTGGCGCAGCTGGAGAAAAAGGAGCCACCCTCAAGAAATTACATTGGTTTCTAGGGACATTCCCTCTCTTACACACAACCACCCCTGCATCCTGGGGCACTAAGGCAGAGACTCACATCTCTTTTCCATCTGGGAAAGATGGGATCTCTGGGCCATAGGGCCTCATTACTGTCTTCCTAGCATTCCATATCCTCTACTGACTTAAGTCCACACAGTGGTCTCGTCCTGGGTATTCCAGGAGAGGGGACAACTGATTTACACACAATCTTCAAAGACAGAATCTTACCCACAGCTCTTACCTGAAAGGACTTAATGAATGTCCACAGCAGAGTCCGGATACCTTCCCCCCTGCTGAGAAGCTTCACCAATCGCATCACTCGGAAAAGACGGAAAAAGGTGATGGAGATTCTATTGCTCTCTTCAGAGTTCTGAAGGGTTATCATGGAGAAGTCAAACCCAATGGAAAGTAGAACATGCAACACTTTCAGAAAAACAGCAACAGATGCAAAGGTGACAGAGGTAAGAACTGAAGATGTGTTTCTAGGGCCTTTTCACCTTAAAAAGCATGATATGAAAGGAAAAGTTACATGCTAACAACACAGGATTTGGAAAACTATGTCCACACAACACATGCATGTCCACGTGTTCTACTGTGTTAGAGGAGAACGCTGGGCTGGCCAAGAGTACTGGACATTGATGATGAATGCAAACCACTGCAGACACTGTTCTGGAAGGACAATCATGGAGAATACAGAAAAAACCAGTGGAAAACTTGACATGGTCAAATAAACTCAAGGAAAAAGCCCAGCCCCTGGAGACTAGTCACTGATCTTACCCCAGGTGTAGCGGTTGGGACAGGGACATTTTCACTTTCAGTTGGCTTTAAGAAATCAAAGATTAAAAATGTATTAATGAGGTAGGAAGGAAGCAGTGGTTCAGGAGAATACCTCCCCACCCCCTTAAAAAGTGTGTGATTAATGAATGTCTTTGGATAAGACACCTGTTCTGTCTCTGAGAGACTCCAGGAACTCTGGCTGGAGCTAGATTTAAGGGGAGGTAGCCATCGACATGGGTATAGACACAGCACCCTTTCTTGTTCACATCTAGGGATGGATGTAATGTCTGATCACCTCTATTTCTCTGAGCTCAGCTGATAGCTCTACAGCAGGCCTCCTAACCCAGAGCAAATGCACCACTCCCTCCAATTGTAAGGCTAACAGCTTCCCTACTTGTGGTCCCCTTGTGTAGTCCACAGCTTCCAGACCAGAAAAATCTCAAAGTCTGCAGGACTTTGGAAGAAACAGCATGGGCCAGCTTGCCTGGAGCCTCAGCAGCTCTACCCATCCAGGTATAGCAGAGCATATGTTGTTTAAGCCCCAGGATTCAGACTCTTCTGATTGGCACCCATCTGCCTCAGAGGGTGAGGAACATTGCCCCATTCCACTCTGTGCCCAGTATGGTACCTACTAGGTATTGTGGGGTTTTCTTAATGTAAAGATAGCTGGATGTCAGTGGCTCATGCCTATAATCCTAGCTACTCAGGAGGCTGATCTGAGGATTGCAGTTTGAAACCATCTGAGGCAAGAAAGTCCGTGAGACTCTTATCTTCTTACCTTTAATTAATCACCCCCCCCAAAAAAAGGCTCAAAGTTGAGCTGTGGCTCAGGTGGTAGAACACTGACCTTGAGCACAAAAGCTCAGGGGCAGTGCCTAGACCATGAGTTTAAGCCGTAGGACCAGCACACAAAAAAAGGCAAAGATATTGGAGTCACACTCTTACCAACAACAGGAAGCATCAAAACTAAATAGTAATGGGAAGCTGAACCAGAATCGAGATTGGTGCCCTGTCTTCTGCAGTGGTAACCCACTGGAGTAGCTGGTCTACCTGGACACTGACAGGGAAGTAAGAGGCCCACCTGGTGGAAGGCTTTCAAAAGGACTTTAAGCATAACATAACTGTCAACCTCAGAGAGGGTGTGCACACTGCTAGGATGGACTTCTCCTCTGGGGACACAGAGGGCTCAACTCTGAAGCTGCCTCTTAATATCAAACAGAAAATACTAGAAAATATGAGGTTGTGTACATCAGAGATCAAGTATGATCTGGCAAGGTGACTGTGAACCCCAAAATAGGTCCTGAGGGTCAGAAAGGGCTCCCTGCTCCACCTGATGCTTAGAATGAGAACTCTCTAGAATGGGCTTGTCAAGTCCAGGGCTGCTCTCTTTGTTCTTCTCTTGTATGATATCATCTCAAAGACACTTTCTTAAAGGGCAGAAAGAGATAATGTTTTTTAATGTAAATGTTAAGAAACAAAGTTCTCACTGTCTGTACATCATTCTCTCTCCCTAAGGTTCACTCAGAGGAAGATTTCACTCTTTCCCTGTGTGAGTAAATGTGTGTGAGTGTACCAGCATGCATGCTTCTGCTTGCCTATGTTCAGGGAACCGGAACATGCAGAAGGCAAAGCCCTCTGCTGTCACGTGATTGAAACACCCCTAATGTGTGTGGGAGCCACAGAGTATCAGAGGCCTGCTGGTTAAGGTGCTCTTTCTGGCCACTGACTCCTGCTTGCTCTCCCTAGGCTGCCTCACGTCAGACCACTCATGACTCCCTTCCTTCAGGTAAACGCAAATGGGTAAAAATGTTCATCTCTGTCACCGGTATTGATGAAGTAGGCTCAATAATGAACTATAAAAATTCAAACTCTCATAAAACAGAGAGGAGGAGGGGGACAGCATTTGTGGAGGGACAAAGGCAGTACAACATGCAAGAGAAGAAGGAAAGAACCAACAGCACACCAGGTATCATGCAACCCCAGGGTGGCCTGTGACATTGCCCCCACCCACCACACACCAGTTGGCAGGGAGGACTGCTGCAAAGGAGGACATGGCTGGTGGCACTAGGGGACAGTGTAAGTTGCCAAAATATCTGCCAGACTAGGAGGAACCTGAGGATGGCTTTGGTGAAACTACAAATGTCAGTCTGATAAAAAGGACAGCCAGCTCTCATTCTAGGCTGCACACTGAAGCTGCCTAGGATGTGTAACAAGATCTGATGGACAGCTCCCACCTTTGTCAACTGTTCTAGAGTATGCCTGTACTTCTGGTGTTTAAAAGCTCCAAGGCGATTTTCCTAGGCTCTCACAGCTAAGAATGTCAGTCTTAAGCCCATGATAAGCTGAGCTAAGTATTCAGCTGACTGTCCACATCAATCACATAGTAGGGTCACTAGAAAAGCCCATTTAGGCTGGGTGCCAGTAGCTCACACCTGTAATCTCAGGAAGCTGAGAACTGAAGGATCTTGGTTCAAGATCATCTGGGACAAAACAAACAAAAATCCCCGAGATTCCGTCTACAATTAACCAGCAAAAAGCTGGGTGAGAGGAATCAACATGGTTCAAGTTGTAGGGCCCCAACTGTAAGCAAGCAAGCTGGAGGAGCAGGAGGTCCTGAGTTTAAAACCTTTTACCAACAACCAAAAAAAAAAAGGAAAGAAAAGGAAAAAAAAAAGCCCACTCAGCTGTTTCAAGTGAGCAGTGACTTCTTTGGAAATTTAAAAAGCTTCCAGGTGATTCTCCTGTGATCTCAGAGCTGAGAATGTTGGTCCTAAGCAGTACTTGGATATAAAGAGGTGAGGCTCCATTCCCATTTTCCCTTGGGGATGAAGACAGCTGGTGGAGGACCAAGCGAGCCACCGATGCTAAAGGTCATCCCTAGAGGACATGAGGCTGGGGAAGGACTTGTTCCTCAGAGAGTTTTCCAAGAATGGCTTTGAGCAGCTAGGTGGCCAGTTTTCAAAAGGAGGAATTCTATTGTCAACTTGGGGTTTAGAACAGATACCTCAAGAGCTTCTTCCAGCCCTGAGAGGTCACATTCCCCGCCTATTTCTGGGAAAGGACTGAATGTGGAGGCAGGGGCTGAACCTCGGCCACACATTCAGACAAGAAGCTGGGTGAGGCTGTAGAGACCTGGTCTAAGCTGGGTAGCTGACAGTGCAATTCCTAGGTCCTGGAGGTGAGCACCTATTGTCTTGTTTTATACTCTTTGATAAGGAATAGCAAGGCAGCCATTTCTAAACAAGTATGTGGTCTTTTAGCCAATAATACTTATCTAAACGATCATTAATTAAACGTCAGTGACAACCATTCCTGAGTCAGAAAAATATGTGGCAGGGCCATTTTGCCACTCAAAGAACAAGTAGGCATCACAGAGGGAGCAAAAGTGAGCCCACTAGTTGCAATACAATATTGTAGCAGCTTGGTGATGCTCTGACCAAATGTGAAGTAGACAAGTCCACGAGAGCCATCGAACCATGGATAATCAGGGGGTTGGGGATACATGTGGAGGGGACAGCAGGGTGGAGAGGACTGGGTGAACATGCAAGCAGGACAATGCAAAGGCCATCCAAAATGTTCTTGTACAGAATACAAACGCAGGCCTGATATCTCATTTTTAGGACAAATACTTCATCCTTGAAGCCTATGTTGGTAAGTCACAGAGTCAATGTGACTGACCAAGAAGGCCTGAGCTCAGGACCTGGCCAGAGACAACAATGTGTGGGGAAGGGAAACAATTTAGATGACCGGGACTGATCCTTAGCAAGTCCTGTGAAACACAGTGGAAAAAATCAAAGGTGGGAAAGCCCAAACCAAGTATACAGTCTCTAGAAGTTCATTTGCTTTAATGACTTCACCGTATATATGTTTATATATACTTGCCGCTACAATTTTCTAAAAATAAAACCAACATGAAAATCAATTAGGCAACAGAAAAGAAAAGATCAACAGTCTGGGAAAGAGAGCGTAGCAGGTTAAACATTGCAAAAAAAAAAAAATGACATATGGCAACTAAATCCAGCCAACAAAGGACCATGGGTGTTTGTGCTCAGTGGACCCAGGAGCTCAGGGAACAAGATCACCAAAGATGTGACATGGACTGTTCCTCCCCTCCCCCCTCGGAGAACTCCACATGTGTTGAGGAAAGGGTCGGGAATCAATGTTCCCATTCTTAGGCATATACACAATCAGAGGTTAAAAATATCGAGTCTTTTGGAGCTGAAAGTCTGCCCTGAGCCTCGCCCAGGGGTAGATGTCCAGCGAACAGCATGTTGAAAGAGGAAACAGATGAGAAGGAGGCCTGAACATCTTCTGCACTGAGGGCTCCTCAGGTGGCCTAGGGCAGGGAACTGCCAGTGCTCATGGCTGAGGAGCATTTGGTCTCAGGGTATAGCTGAGCAGAGAAAGGTCACTAACTGAAAGCAGTGTATGGGCATGCTCACCAGTGTGATTCGGAAAGGCTAGCTGAATGCTAAGAATGAGGCCTCATGAAAGCCAGCCTTTTACAGACACCCCATATCAAATGCTAACTAGAAGCTCAAGTGGATCCCTGGTCCTTTCAGATGCTTGCTGAAGGAGGATACTATTGAGACACTGACAGGCAAGGCGCAGCCAGATCACAGAGGCGCAGTAGAGAGAGGGAGCAAGGTCAGCCACTAGCAGACATGAGGCAGCCAGGAAGCTGGGTGTTGACCTTGAGGACACTGCACCACCCCATCAGCCAGCAGATGGGGCAGCATGGGTGTCTACTTGTGAACAAGCTTTGGCTACATTCTGGTACCCAGAAACGACAGCCTTCCACCGAAGAGTACAGTTAAAGCCCCTTAAAGCGCTGAGAGCCCTAGGGAGGCTTTCAGGGATGAGAGCTTATAGAACTTTCACTTCTATCACAGGCTCGCTCTGACCCTGTGACTCTCAGCCGTCTGTTCCAAAACTTTTTGTTAAGTATTCCCCAATGTATGTCATAGACATTTTAAACTGTGAAATTATTAAGTAGGGTAGACGTGTCTGGCCATAAATTTGGTAGGGAGCGCAAAGCAATCCAATTAAAGTCTTGCTGTTTTCTCATTAGTGCCAGATCATTCTAAACCCAAGTGCCAGTTAAATATCATGCATGGCAATTTCATAACTGCCTAGTGGAATCTCATATAAAGTAGAATTTACACAAGTCTGGGGCTAAGGAAGTTGAAAATTCATGTACCAGGCTTAGTAAAATACCATTTTAGTACTTGTCATAGTATGGACTTGGCATGATGAGGCTTAGATCATACCTTGGTGAAAATGATAATGTCTTACAATCTGTCACTCTTTACAGGGAAAACCTGCACTTTTAATAGTACTATTACATCTCTCCATCACTGGACTTTTAGCAAATATTTCACATCATTTTATTCCCATTGCACACCTGCAAAGTAGGGAGAGAAAGTAATACTCACTTCATAAGACCCATAAGGAAAGTAAGACCTGGGTCAACAAGTCAGGTTTGAAGTTGGGCTGGAACTGGCAGATGTCCCACTGTTCACACTGAGAATCAGTTCCCTTCCCGTCCAAGAGCATAAAGGGATTTCACTGTCCTCATCTGATACAGGCTGCCTGGGCACCAGGATGGACTTAACTATCAGGGCAGCCTTGTAGGTATTAGCTGGGCAGGGCATGTGGGTGGGGGCACAAGTAGACTGGCAACAGGAAGCAGAAGCCAACACTGCACCACAGTCCCTCCCATGCATCTCCACTCATCTCCTTGAGGGACACACATACACACTAGACATCCACCAAGACTTGCTGATGAACTGGTGCCAGGCCAGTGAACAGAGATCTTCTGTCTGTCCCAGGCCTTTAGTCCAGGCAAAGGTCAGACAAAGGGAGGCAGATGGGAGGTGATGCTCTCATTCTCAAGCCTCTTAATTTTGAAAGGGATTCTCATCTCAATTTTGAGTTCTTAGGCAGCTCTTTCCCCCTTATCACAGGGCTGTGCACATGCTCCCTAATCAGCTTTACTAGCATGTAAAGGCAAAGGAATGGCGACTCTCCTTGTTACACATTAGGCCTGGCTCCCCTTGGCCCCACAGTCGTCATCCTTTGGGGAGCTTCAGCCTGAAATGTTCACCAGTGCCACCAGCTGGGCCCAGAGCAGACTAAGGTACAAGAGGATACTAGCAGGCACAGCTGTGGGTTTCCCTCTGGTGCCTTCACAGACCATGTGGGCACAAGGATACTTATTATTAACTCCATTCTACTTCTTGGAAAACAAAGGCACAAAGCAGTTAGTTAGGTGTCCTGCCCACTGTCACATAGCTAGCATGTAACATTACTCACACACTAATAAAACGAGGGGTTAGCCATTAAAATTTTAAGTGATCTTTTAAAACTTAAAATTGGTTTAGTTCCAAAGTGGTATTTCTGTTTACTTTCTTACTTCTTCAAGGAAATGGGGGAGGCTGGAGCTGGAGGAAGGGAGGGAAGAGTATCAATTGACCTTCATCTTTCAAAAAGACTGTGTGTCTAGGTTCCCAATGTATATGGAAAGTCATGGGTGGGAATTCTGGTCTCCTCTTTCAGAATCAATGAAAACAATGACATTATAGGACACAAAGTTTGCTACTTACATTCACTTCAGTTATAGCAATATCAACGACGCTACCAACAACAATTAAGGCATCAAAAGTGTTCCATGCATCAGTGAAATAGTGCTGTTAGGGCAAACATTCAGAAGCCACAGAGGAGAGGAAGCGCAATAGGAAAAAAGAAGAAAAGGACAGTGTTATCAAAGGGGAACATTCTAGCATTATGCCACCCGGCTACTTGAAAAAAACGCACTAAGACAAACATGTCATACATACATCACTTTAGGATGGCTTCTGACATAGGAAATAAAAGCAATTACAGACACGCTATCTTGCCTCGTCTACTAGCGGCAGGGGTCAATCCTGCCCAAAAGTTCAGCTCTGCAAAGGCAATTGGTGTCTTCAAAGCCTTGGGCTAAAACTCTACTCTACAAGATCTTTCCCACAGCTTCATCAGGAAATGCCTGTTTTCAGATCAAGTGTGATTGGGATCTGTGACTTGTCCAAGTGATGCCACCGCAGGGCAGAAAGCAGAATGTGCAGACAGAGGGGAAAGGACGCAGGCCACGCCGGGTGCATACTCACGTCTGCTTCGCTGAGGGCCACGTCTATAATGCTGCCGATTACGATGAGGGAGTCAAACGTGTTCCAGGCGTCACTAAAATACCCCTGAACAGAGCAGGTGGGGCAGATGTTTATGAGCACGTATGAATGAAACATCACACGGATCATAGGGGGACACATCTGAGTCCCTGCAGCACCCAAGGCAACCGGGGCGGGGGAGGGGCGGGGGGAAAGCCAAAAAGGAGGCAACAATACTGTCCACTGGTGGAAAGGGGCACAGAGGGGGTGGCTGGGCACTTGTGCATGTAAGAAAGGGCGTGTGTGAGAGACAGCACACACACACACACACACACACACACACACACACACACACACACACACACACACACACACACACACACACACACACACACACAGCCTCTGAGCAGAGAAAGCAACCTTGCCCAGGCACCTAGCATGTCCATCCTAAACCATGACAAACTAACAGAATAGCCAGGCTCTTCTGGTCCTTCCAATAATTTCTGACCACTACTTGCCTCTCTTCTCTTCGTAAAGAGCCACAGCAGTAGGCATATCACACCTTTTCATTTTCGTGCCACTTCAAACAAGCCAGCAGCCCTCCTGCATCCTCAACCGTCCAGTATTACAAAGGCTGCACCCTGTTACAGGATGACCAAATCAACTCTCAGTCTTCAAAGAGTTCTTTGTCTAAAGAACACAGACAGATTTGGCCTAAAAGTCACAGTTTATAGCAAGAGAGAGGCACAGAGACTCAAGGCATAGCTTTATGGCAGAGAAATGCTTAGATATGAGGATGGAGCTTCAGCTCCACTGTAGCTGAAGCAGGTTCTACAGAGGATCTGAGTACTTATGATGGAGAGAAGACTCAAGAGCTCCCTCAGTCTTGAAGAAGCCCCAAATTGCCAACCCACTCTTCTTTGCACCTTGACTGTGGCTCTTCTCTGACCTCTCCATTCTCTAGGCTAAGATGACTCTTCATCCCCATGAATACCATTAGGCTCCTCCACACCTCCTGTGCCTCTACAAGCCTAACCTCCCCGGCTCATCTCTCTCTGCCCAGATTCACTTCCTCCTTTCAGGTCAGATAAATGCCAGCTCCTTTCTGGAGCCCGGCCACTCCCTCCTGACTGCCCACATTGCATCATCTTGACTAGCTCTCTCTCTCATACCTTGATCTTATAAAGTCTACCTCCCCTTCCAAGGAGGACTGCACTGCTCAGTCTGTCCTCATCTCCACCAACACTGACATCTGACCCAGAGTCCTAAACATAGTAGTGTTTGACATACAGAGGTCTTCATTCCACCAACTGGCACCCTACTGGTCACTCAGCTTCTACTGGTTCTTGATTTTCTAGTCTTGACATTTTACCAGTTCTAAGGTATAACAGTCCCGCGGATTGAATTACAAATCCACACATATGTGCCATACATTGTATATCACACAGTAGATGCTAAACTAGTGACACCTCTGGAAATAACCTGTCAGAGGTGGTGGGTACATTCTGTACACAGAAGCAGGAGGCTTCTGGTTGCCACAACTGGACTGTCTATAAATCAATCACATCTTCTTAAAAAATGAGCGTATGTCTTGGAAATAAAAATTCAAGTCTAATGTTATGTAAAGAAGGGTCCAGCATGTTTACAACTGGGTATTTTGAGTACAGTACTAAGTATTAAGAATGTACGTTGAAATATCAGGTTCCAGGAACTGTGATCAAATGCAGGCCCAGAGGAAACCGCTGTACAGTCACCGTCTTTTGTGACACTATAGAATATGTGGACATGTGGAATGTCCTCATTGGAGCATTAGAAATTTTTTCAACATGTTCCCCACCTCCCCCAGGCCCCGGTGCCCCATTAATAGGAAAGTCATCACATTCCAATCAGTTACTGTCTTAATTTCTGGCTAAACAAGGTAAGATTTCCCCCCCCCAGCTTCTGTGACTTCTGACTTACTCTAAGCCTCTCACCCTGAAAGTCATATTGCCTCTCCCATACTTGACCCTTGCTGATTGTCACTCTCTGAAACTCCTCTCTCATCAGTCCAAGCAGCCAACAAAATAAGTTACCTTGCACTAAGTCTGTCATCTGTGTTTAGAAGTCTAATGGGAAGGTCTACCTCAAAATATAACTTACACCTCTTAGTTTGTCTTCTCATGAATTCATGATCCTTGGCTGGCAAAACTGAAGGAAGAAGAGAGGCATCTTTAAGTCTAAACTTGAGATCCTTAAGAGGTCAGAGGTAGGGTAAAGATCTGGCACCAGGATATAAAGGAAGTCCTCTGACAAGTCAGCTGGGTCACATGGCTCCTTCAGCGTTGGCACTGATGCCCAAGGCTGTGAGCATGGTGGATCCTCTGGAATCATTTCTACTTGTCACACATGATGGGTGGCAAGCAGTTCTTTGCACTGCTGGCAATGCTGTAGACTACACTAAGGGGAAGAGTCTTATTTAGAGAGGCTAAACAGCATGGCAATCTTCCCCCTCCTTCACGGGGGAATTTATGCCTTAATCAAATGCTTGGTGTGGGTAGGTCCTAGACTGCTAGAGTACTCTCAGAGCATGGATACTGACCCCTGAGGCACACAATCAAGCTCTGCCCATGCCCGTACCACATGCTTGTTATCTCTCCTTTTGCTGGATAGATTTACCAGAAGCCAAATTCACTGCGCATTGCACTTCAGCCCCACTCACAATTCATCTACAACCTAAAATGATCAGGGTTCCCACTGTTGTGTTATTCCCATCAGCCCACTAGCAGATGGAGGCCAATTCTGATGCACTGCGGTAGATAAAATTCCTTCCCATTAACATGATACAAAGGTTTAATACTTCTTTGGGGCCCTAGAAGTGTTCATGAATGTCAGTGACTCTTTCTCTAGAAAATCACTCAGTCACAAAATGGTGCCCAAATTCTCATATTTCATGGATCAAAGGCTAACACCCCTAATCTAGGCAACAGGAAATGACTTAGTGCAGGTGGCTAGAATCAAAGGGTCTGACCAGGTGGCTCTGACAGGAACTCAGGGGAGGCAGAAATGCCAGCCCTCCCATTCTTCCCACATACTGCTTCCCTGTTTAGCAGCCTCCTATTTAATAAAATCACTGCTGAGTGAGCATGACTCAGTTCCCCCACCCTGTATAGCCACCATGGCATCTGCTGAAGATGGGCCCATATCCATACTCTGTCCTCTCAGATGATAGCGACATGTCCTCCCCAAACTAAATTTTACAGCCAAGTCCCCTCAAGGAGAACCAGTTTCATCTATCTAAAGAAACCAAACAAGTCAGCCACATGCAATAACATTATCCAAAAATATCCTGACTCTGGAAATTTTAAGTCATGAACCTGACCTTGCAGAATTAGAGCCAGGAAGCTCTATTATTCCTAGGAGCTCTGTGCTGACTCCAGATAGTAGGCTCTTACAACCTAGGGCTTCAAGAACATGGGTTTTGACTTTACCTCTAGCCAGGACAGAGCAGAGGTTTGGGCATGGTAAGGGGCAATGTGTGTAGAAGGGATGCAAATGGGATACAAAAAAGCAGCTCATGTCTAGGTTCCTTTTTCTGCCTGAATTCACTCTCATCAGCAGATCTGAAGAATGCAGATCTATACAAAGGACTTGTCTTCTGCCATTCACCATAGTAGCCAGATCAGTCCAATTTCTGGCAGGGATGTTTGGGCAATATGTGACCTATGTGATAATCTGTAGTGTAAAATGACAACTTTCTAACTAATACATCCCTTTCAAAAGACAAAGGAGGGGCCTAAGGAAAATATACCCTACTCTGGTAACTCTGTTCTACCAGATATCCTGTGATAGAAAAGAAAGTACCATCTTAGACCAAGCAGCAGCTAGAATCTCATCCATTAATTCCTTATTCCACTCCATCAATCTTTACAGAGTAATCACATGCAGTGGACTTTATGTGAGGCCCTGTGAACTTAAAGACAGCCAATGATCTTAAAAGCTGTTGTTCCTTAGAAAATGGAGAGAAACAAGGAGCAGTGTGAATGAGAACAACTCAGGATAAGCTCCTTGCGGATGCACATGTCAATGAACAAGTGGCCTTGGCAGGATGAGTATGGACAGCGACACAGAGGGGCAGTTTTTTCAGTAGACCTTAATACATACAAGGGCAAAAAAAGGATTTTCAGGCAGGCTTGTGAGCATGGGAAAGTCCAGCAACTTCATATTCTAGGATGGAGTGGGGAAAAAGGAATAGCAGTAACAGAAAGTGAGGCAAAAATATACCTGGACCAATGTTTTATGGAGGATTTTGAATATTAGCCTTAAAAAATACTTTTTTGTGGAGCTAGGCACCGGTGACTTATGCTTGTAATCCTAGCTACTCAGGACGCTGAGATCTGAAGATAATGGTTAGAAGCCAGTCTAGGCAGGAAAGTCCATGAGACGCTTATCTCCATTTAAGCACCACAAAAGCCTGCTGAAGACGATCTGTGGCTCAAGTGATAGAGCACTAGACTTGAGCAAAAGAGCTCAGGGACAGGGCCTAGACCCTGGGTTCAAGCCCCAGAACCAGCACCAAAACAAACAAACAAAAAATACCACTTTTTCCCCTCTCAAACAATAGGTGGCTAGATTATCACCGGAAGAGTGGCCTATCCAACTGACTTTTTGCTTACAAAAGGAGTAACTGAAAGATAAAAAAGGAAGAGCTGGTAACAGGAGACTGCTTAAAAAAAAAAAAAAAAGCAGGCAGTCAGTGTAGCCTACAAGGGAGGGCAGGCAGGTCTGGATGAGACTGAAGGCCACCATAGCCTTGGGCATATGTGTATCTTAATGAAGAGAAGAGGAGCAGGAGAGCTCTGGGTGACCCTGACACTAAAGAAGTAAGATGAGAGGACAATGCTCACCAAGGAATCAGTATGAAGTTCTAAGGGCAGGGATATTTGGTTTCAAGCATTACTTGGTACTGAAAATAAATCATTTACAAAGACGTGGTCACTGAAGAACTAAAAAGACAGTACTGAATTGTCTTTCCACGAATGTGCTGTAGGGTATTACTGCAGTTTAGAAGCCATACACTTATTAGGAGTCCTGGAGCAGGGAGTGCTGCCTGGGGTTGGGGGTGGGAGCGGTGACTCTAAGTCAATTTGTTTTTATTTTCTCCAAGCCCAAGGTAGCTAGGAGTATAAATTAGATATTTGCAGGGAAGAAATGAAATCAGAAGGCTTTGATGACTAAGACTAGGGAACAGAGTGTGGCTCCCTGGAGAAAAGTCCACGGCCACAGCAGGTAGTCAGGGACAGGATCAAGTTCTGCCCAAAACACCAGAGAACATCTGGAAATATACCGAGGGAACACAGACAGACTAGGCCTGCTGACTCCACAGAAGGGCTCTTTATAATAGTGGAAGCCAATGTTTTGGGAAAGCCTCTCCTCCTTTCTGGAAGCATAAGAATTAATTGGAGAATTTCTGCAACTTCCCTGGGAAGTATTGGAGGAAAAGGACCTAAGTAATGGCTTGCCTTTCAAAACTATAGCTCAGAGGTCAACTTCAAGTCCAAAGCTCAATTTGGACTGCATAAGGTTGATGCCCTACGGGTAGGCTTTCTCCTTGAAGTCTCAATACAATAAATTAAAGTACTTGCTTGCTTGCCTTTCCTTGATGCTTTTGTTCTTTAATTTCTCATCACCTTTCACTCTTGACAACCTATGATCAAAACCAGCTTTTCCCATGAAGAGAGACTGCCTGCCTACTGTAGAAGCTCCCAGCTGCTTGTGGATGCGAACCCCACATGGCAGTGGACCATTTCCTTCTAAATGTGCTTTGTTAGGAGGTCCCGTTACTCAACCAGATTCTCTTATAAGCAAGATCAGAATCCTCCCATTATTTTAACCCTTGCTTCCTGAAATGCCTCTGCCTTCCCAGGAAGAACTCTGTCTAACTTCACTTTCTGCATCTGTTTTATGTAACAACTGCCATCTACTGACAGCGATGCTGGGAAGCCCTTCTAGAAAGTGTGCTCACATAATACATAAGTTGGCCTCCAAAACCCTGGCACAGAGCTCCCATAAAAGAGACAGACTCTCAGAAGATTCTATCTCCTTGGAACTATCCCCTTGGATCATTCATCCCCAAAGCTCTGAAATTGCTTCTGGGCCTAAATACCCCATACTATCTAGGTACAAGAGAACCTCACTGGCTCCTTTGTAAAACAAAAGGGCATGGCTTGTAAGCATTGAAGAAACAAACTAAGTTTTAAAGATCAGGATGGATTTCAAGAAGAACTTTGCTTTGCTTCATCTCTCTTGGCACACAGTGCAGCCACAGCGCTCTGTAAGTGCAGAGATGCCACCGTTATTGCAAGAGTTCTCACAGTGGTAATTCGGGGTCATCTCAGCTTATGAAAATATCTTGCTGAGTAAAACTATAAAGCAGCATAATTTCTGGCGGAAATGACCCATTTTAAAACTCCTATCTATATCAGTACTGATTATAAATTAGTTACTCATTTCCTCCTTGATAACACCCAACTGTTCACACGCTACTGAACCTGCCTCCCAGGCATGATGATTTACTGGTACAAGCAAGGTGCTATAAGCCAGTGCATTGGCTTACTAGAGGACACAAGCAGAACATACATATACACATACACAGTCACACAAATGTACACACATTGTGTACACAAGCTCCTTCATACACTCAAAAGCACAGGCATATATATATACATATATTTATATGTGTGTGTACATATATATATATATATATATATATATATATATATATATATGTATTATTCCAAGCCCAGGCAGGAAAGTCCGTGAGACTTTTATCTCCAATTAACTCCAGAAGTAAAGCTGTGGCTGAGGTGGTAGAATGCTAGCATAAAAGCTCAGAGACAGTGCTCAGGCTCTAAGTTCAAGCCCCAGGACAAGTGTGTGTATTCGCTCGCATGCGCACACGCAACACACACACACACACACACACACACACACACACACACACACACACACACAGCTTCATCACCAGACAAAGAAAACATGGCACAGAGTATCTGGGAAATGTTCCATGAGTATGTTCCATGTGCACATATCAAGAACTTTTACTCTGCAACCTTTTCCATCAGTTCAGACAAATATTGTTCAAAGATGTAAATATGAGAGGGAAGTAAACCAAAATCTTAGAGGAACTGAAGATGAATTTGGAAAAGGAGATGTTCATGTATTTAGATATGGACAAGTCACAGCAGGTAATATCTGACCATGCATAAAGTGCCAAATTTGACCCCACTGCAATCACCCCAATTATTCACTTACAAATGTCCTTTCTTTTTGGTCCACAAAGATCTGATAAAGATTGTACAGAAATTAATTGAAATTAAAGAAAGGAATAGTTTGTATTTAGAATTTCACCTCCCTGTGGCATATGTGAGACCATTTCTTAATCGGCTTTTCTTTAGTTGGTCTTGTTTGATGCTTCACATAGTGAGAACCAATGAGTGAGGCCCTGGTCTCTGTCATGCTCTAACTCAGAGTGTCAGAAAGAGAGTGACATCCAAATGCTTCACAGCTCAGCTCAGCTCTCAGCTCTTCTGTCTGTCTAGGGTTCTAAAATGAAGGAACATCACTGCCTAGTGATGGATGCTGACAGTGAACACTATGGGAGTACATGCCAGATACTTTTTTTTAAAAAAGCACTGGATATAATAATTGTTCACTTCTCAACAGAGTGCTATAAAATACGTCTATGAGTATTCTCATATTTTCAATGAGGAAATGGAAACACAGGAAGTGAAGTAACTTGCTTAAGATAGTAAATGGTGAAATTAGGACCCGAATCTAGGGCAATTCCAGAACTGTGCTTTTTGACATGAGCTACACGGTCTGTTACACCACAGCCTTTGGCAAGCATGACTGGAGTCCACTCCCTCTTAAAGGAGATGCGATATACTAAATCATCTAATACAGTTTAATACATTTGACATCTTCCTTTCTTAAACTCAAGTGAAATTTTTCTAAATGGAACAAACAAATGATGGTATGGCTATGAGAGGCTTGTACTTGGTACCAGAACTTTCCTTAAAAGGTGAAAAGGATGCTGTGGGCCAAGAACAAATAACACTAAACTTCATGTTAGGTATCTGAAAGTAAAATCAAGATCGAAATCTTTCATGTTCAAACATTTCCATGCTCAGACCATGAGGCAGGTTTCCCTGAGACAATGTGATGCATGCTGTTCTAGTAACAGAAAACCACGGTTCAGAACAATCTTCAACCTGAAAATTCCCAATTCTCCCTTCCTCTTCTTTATCTCAGATTTGTTTTCATGGGGGCTTTACTTCTTCAGATTTATTTTTCCATAGGTGTACAGATTCTCTATCAGATGTGATGTTCTCGGTGGTAACACAGTTAGCAGCCAGGATAAGTTAGCATATTTCATAACACAAGGTTAACAGGAAGCAGGGTGCTTCTCTGGGGGTGATTTTGGCTTTTGTGAAGTGGATGAACTCAACAACTCACCTTAGGCTTAAATGCAATGACTTTCAAAACCATCTCAACAGTGAACACCCCAGTGAAGACCATGTTCAGAATGTCCATGGCATCGTTGAACATCTTGGACTGCTCGTAGTGCTGCAGATGAAGAAAGAGGTGCAGTTCTCAGACCCCCTGTGGTCTCACTCCCTTACCCACGCAGGCTTCCCAGGCCTCTGCATCCCTGTGGGCACCCTCCATGATTCAGCACCTTTTCCCCATGATTTGGTAAGAACTGCAGGGTCACATGGTGAACTCCCACAAAGTACAGGGGGTCTGTGACAAGATGAGGATGATTGAATGATGGAGGGGAAAAGGGGGAACAAACAGGTCTATTCTCTCTGCTCAGGATAAGAAGGATCAATCCTTTCTTCTGGTAGGGCTTATACTCAGGCCCTTGACTAAGGCATGATATAGATACTACAAAAATCTTCATGAATATAGGTAGAATTTGGGCAGGCTGCTATGCCATTTATGTCTATGTTTAATAAGAAGGCATTATAAGGTCTCCATCAGCATGTTCTTTTTCATTCATAAAGAATTCTTCAGCAAAAATGCCATAAAATTTATCCTTGACTGTCTGTAGACCTGTTGTCTAGATGGCATTGAGGGCTGGTTTGATTTGCTCAAGTTCTTTAGGTCCAAGCAAAATCTGGATCTAGACCTTGGCCGTTGCTTTCTGGCCTACTGTCATATCTACTGAACAACAAAAGCTCTGAAAACATTCACTGTTGATACTGTTCTGCAATCTAAGGACTTGGCTTATTCAAGTGAGATACAGTCTTTGCTCCAACATCAGCAAGAAGCAACAGTAATTCAGTTCAAACTCAATTATTTCACTGGCATACTGGAACCACTTTGAGGGCCAGGAATGTAACTTGGGTTCTACTTTTCCACACTGGGTGTTCACAAACAGTCCAACATAAACTTTTTTTTTTTTATCTGAGGAAAGGGTAATAGATTTCTCCATTTACCAGTAAAGTGAAGCTCAGAAAATTTAAATACCTTTCACAGAACTGGCAACTTTACTACCCAACTGGTAAGGAGTAAAACCAAGGACTGAAGTGACTGCTTGTGGAACTCCTAAGCTTGCATCCTCAATTTCTTCCTGGCCACAGGAGACCCACAGGGAACTGAATGCTACAGGCAGGCTCCATAGGACTTATATATACCATCTGCTCAAAGGAGTGATCTGAAGGATCTACCATGACAACAGTCAGCCAGAATGGGGCACTGCCATGCTACTGCCCGAACTCATCAGAAAATCAAACCCATCCTCGTGTGAGAGGGAGCACTCCACCCTCAGAATCTTGGGCACAGGGCTGCGCAGAACGCCCAGACTTGGTTCCCACAGCTGTCTCCATTTTTACCTGCATGGCCAAGCAGAGTGTGTTGAGCATGATGAGGACAAACATCATGTATTCGAAAGGCGAAGAGTTCACCACGTACCAGAATTTGTACTGGTAGGGGTTTTTGGGGATGTATCTCCTCAAGGGACGTGCTTTCAAGGCGTATTCGACACACTGACGCTGCAACAGCAGAAAAGGGAAAACACGGAGTTCTGAGAACTTCTAGGGAAGGAGCACACAGCAGTTATCTGCCCTGCCAGAACTCACTCCAGCCTCCAGGGAAGGGACCAAGGACGATGTGAAAATGACACGAGCAATCTCCCTTTTTGCCATGGTACTACCAAGACACTCAAGGTCCAGCATACATCACCAACTCTGTTCCTCATGCCAATCTCCAGGAAATTTAATGCTTTTGATGTTATTTTTGCTTACTACAACTATACCCAGAGGGCTGGGCATGATGCCTCATACCTGTAATCCTAGCTAGCTGGGAGATGCAGATAGAAGGCAACCCCGGCCAGGAGGAAAAGTTAGTGAGACCTCATCTGAAAGATAATCCGGCTGGGTGTGGTGGCAAGTATCTGTAATACCAGCTACTCAGGAGACAGAGGTAGAAAGATTGTGATCTAAGGCCAGCTTGGGCAAAAATCATGACATCCTATCCAAAAAATAAATTAATGACAAGAGGATTGGGGCACAGGAAATGCAACGTCCTGAGTTTCAATCTCCCCCGCTCATCCCCCCCCTCCGCCAAGTCCTGGGACTTGAACTGTCCTGGGCACTGCCCTTGAGCTTCTTTTGCTCAAGGCTAGCACTCTACCACTTGAGCCACAGCACCACTTCCAGCTTTTCCTGAGGAATCAAGCCCAGGGTTTCATGCCTGCTAGTCAAGCACTCTACCAACTAAACCACATTCCCAGTCTCCTGAATTTCAATCTTTAGTACCATAATACACAAACAAAAACTGTAGCCAGAGTTTTTGCTGAAGACCTACAGTATTTAACATATAAAGCAGAGGAGTGAGGACTTGTCCCAGACCTTTCTACCAGTGGGACTTGACTATGTGTCAGCCCCAGAAGAGGAAGCCAACTGTCAAAAGTTCTCTTCAAGAACCAGAGGACCTAGGCTAACTTCCTGGGACAGCAGCCTCTTGACTGCTCAGATGGACCCACATAAGATGCCTCTCTGAAGGCAGGATGAGCTAATCATTGATGCCTTATGGTAAGTTGTCAATGTGTCTCTCTAGGAGATGGAGGTTCAGGAGCTTGACATGCTCATTTCAGAATCCCAGAAAAGGGTAATAATGGTGTGACTAAGGTGAATTAAGGTTGGGTCTTAACCGGAGTACTGTCCTTCCCACTCATACTGGAGAAGAAGGGTTAGTACTCTGGAACAAGACCAGAGGGAACATTCAGCCCTGAGAGCTCTCAGCTCATTCCTGAGTCCCTAGACCTGTCCCACTCTTCCTTTGACTCTGAATACATCAGGCTAAGATGTTCCCTGTATCCAAGACTTGGTGCCACTTTGACTTTGCCTGCCCTGATTATGGCCCTGATTTGAGACTTTGGGGAACCTTGGCTGCTGACACACTATAGTGTTGGCCCTGCCTGGATGGCTTTGGCCCTACCATTCATCTTGTCTTCCTCATATGGGGAAAGGGTTGGGACAAGTCTCCTTTGGACTGTCACTGGTGGATCTGCAAGAATATCCTCACAACTCTAAGGGAAATCCTTCTACAAACCAAACCACCAGTGCATCCTCATGTTTCCTATGAAACAGCTCTACCTGGGTCATATGTTTCTTTATGCCAGCTCACCTCAGGAAGCCCCAGCTACCAGATCATTCTTGCTTATTATGTCATCATCAAAGCAGAGATACCACTGATAGAGTCTGAGAGAAGCTCGTAGAACAAACTCTAAATCTCAGCCACGCTCCTAGAGTTCAAAGGATCTTTCAAGAAGCAACTCCTTAATGGTCTTAATTTAGAGATAATGGAATAAGTGTAAGGATGGACCTAATATCACAGAACAGATACAAAAAGAGCAGGGCCAGAGAACTCCTGGATTTCTGGTATCACCAGTGCTCATAGCAAAAAACCCTGTGCTTTTACCAGACTGGCTAAAACAAGGTGCTAGAGAAAGAATTATGCAAGTGAAACTTCAGTCCCCAGTTCAATGTTTCTGGCTTTCCCTGTTCTATTAGAGGGTTCTTCCTCCTAAGTCAGCAATTCTTGACCAGGGACCACCATGTTCCCCAGAACATACCTGGAAATGTAGGGAAATACTAGGTTGTCACAGATAAGGGGGGGGGTACAACTGGCATCTAGTGAGTAGAGGGCACAGATGGTTCCTATAGCCCTGGAAATATAAACAAGAACTATCTAGTCTACAACATCAAGAGTGTCAAGGTGATGAAAATCTACCCTAAGCTAACACTAAGGAGTCTTCAGTAGGAACTGTGGAAACTTACTGTTCTCTGTTCCCAGATCATAAAATCCCACTAGATTCTGAGCCATCATGAATGGATCATGGCCTAAGAAATTGGCCAAAGCATTCTCTGATTTCTTACCAACAGGCCTGGGGATGAGTTTCACAATCATAGTCTATTTCGTATGAAGCTGGGGATTGAACCAAGGACATGTTAGGTAAGCACTCCAACCCTGAGCTATAACCCTAGCCCTTCACAATCTCTGGGGACCTGACTCTCCACAGAGAGACTTAATGTCACTGAGCATGTGCTCTGCTTAGGGCCCTGAGCCACCCACATGGATACCCTTCTCTGTGTGGAGGGAAAACAGTTGAAAGGAGATCTGCTCTTTCTCAAGGGAGGAAGCACAAACAGTGTGTGACTTTAACCTGATTTTTATCCAGCTCACAGTTCTTATACTCTTTTTCTCCCTGCTCTTGAAATGTAACGATGACAAAGCCCACAAAAATGTTCATCATGAAGAAAGCAACAATGATGATGTAGATGATAAAGAAGATGGAGATCTCCACGCGGTAGTTGTAGACTGGGCCAACATTCTCTCCGTTGGAGTCGATGGCTTTATACAGCAACCTGGAGAGCAGAAAAACAGAGTGAGGACCTTCAACCCCACTCAGGCCACAAGGCCCAGCCCACTGTTCTCTAAGCCCCAGAATTCCTCTGAACTCCTCTCATGAGATTGGTTGTTAACCCCTCATGGGGTTAACAAGGCCTCTGGACACAGCCAGGTCCCTATGGGGTCCTCCTCAGCCTCAGGTCCAGACAGGAAGGGGAACCTGGGATATAACCATTGAGAGATTGTTCTGAGGACTGAAAATAAAAATTTCTCCAGTTTTCAATGACATTCCATTTTATTCACAGGGAAAAAAAAAGGAAAAGAAGAACAATGGGTATAATGTATTGAAACTGAAAACTATCCAGGCTGACAGAGAAAACTGTCTTTAAGAGAAGTTCCTTAAACTGAAATACCTATTAAAAGTAAATATATGTCAAGCGGAATTATTGACAAAAAGGAGGAAATTACCGTAACATTCTCAATTTCAACTGACTTTTCACTCTGATGGAGATTTAACCCACTGTGGGAACACTCCCTATGGATCCAGATTCGTTTCGCTTTCACATCTGTACTGACATCCACATTCTATGCATACTCAGAGAGGGATCTAAGTGCCAAGGTCACACTCTGCAGCGGCAGAGGTGGGAGCTTAGCTCAGGCCCTCCAAACCCTGAATCTTAGGTGGATTCATTTCTCCTCAGCTTCCCAATGGCTGTGTCTAAAACCTTAAATGCAGTGTCTTAAAACCTTGATACTACATCAAAGCCTCTTCAGACTGAAGGTCTTACTCTGGGCCTCTAGGAGTAAGCCATACTCAACCATCTCTTTCACTCCACAAATGCTTCTGGAAATATGACTCTCAGAGACACACTGAGAGTTTCACCTGTGAGGCTCAGAGCACCCACCTTCTGCAGTTCCTGTAGGAACAGGGCATCTGAAAGGGAGTGGGAAAGGAATAAGAGACTCTTGCTCTTTCTGCATCTGTTCTGTGATATTAGTCCATCCTTACACTTATTCCATTATCTCTAAATTAAGACCATTAAGGAGTTGCTTCTTGAAAGATCCTTTGAACTCTCCAGTGTGGCTGAGATTTAGAGTTTGTTCTACAAGCTTCTCTCAGTCTCTATCAGTGGTATCTCTGCTTTGATGATGACATAATAAGCAAGAATGATCTGGTAGCTGGGGCTTCCTGAGGTGAGCTGGCATAAAGAAACATATGACCCAGGGTAGTGTTTCTACATTCTTTATGCTCTGCATGTTTTATTCACCAGCATCCTAGCCATTCTAGAAGTATCTAGAAGATACTTCTGCCATCTAGGACATATCAAGGATCCTTTCTAGTTTGACTACCTGACATGCTTACTGGATTTGAGGTTTGCAGGGAACGATCATGTCCTATTTTGTTTCTTTCATAGGGCCTAACATATTTCATGGAGATGGCATCACAAACATACTTTCGGAATGAACATATAAGTGCCTCCCTTGAACAAATGACACAGGCAACCATCTACACCTATAGTAGTGCTCGTGAAGCATCAGAATGAATGGTTTGGGACATAGGAACAGCAGAAAGTCAGCTTTAGTGAAATGGCTACTGATAGGAGAGTGCAAATGCCTGTTATGACTACCTAGTCCCATTCAGAGATGCTTTGAAGGTCCTAGCCCAACCCTGCTTCAAATCTGAGCATGCTATTAGTGGGCCACAGAAGCCACTCATCTGCCTATTTGGACTGAAGAGCCACTTGGGCTGGGAAATGGTGATAAGTGGTGCAAAGTTAGTCACATAGCACTTCACAACTATGAAGAAGAAAAATGGGGCTCACTCCTTGAGAGAGGACTCAGCCCAGTCTCCCCGAGGAGCAGCAGATACCTCAATGGAAGACTGTGTGTTTTCTGTACTCACGCAGGCCAGCCCTCAAACGTGGAAACTGTGAAGAGTGCCATCATGGCAGAAAGGACATTGTCGAAGTTGAAGTCACTGTTTTGCCAGATCCTCTCACGGACCACAGGGCTATCAACATCTCCATCCTTGTAGAGGATGAAAAGCCCCCTAGAGAAGAAAAGAAGTGCCAGTCACCCTGACTTCACATGTGGCAGGCAGCAGAAGCATTAAGACAGTCCCATGGCTCCAGCACCTTCAGAATGCCCTACTCAACTCAAGTCCCACACCTGAGCAGGACACAGGCAAAGCTTCTCACGTAGAACCTTTGCTTTCCCTACATTAAATCTGCTCTGCAGTTCAAGTGACTGTTGAATAGCGACTACTGCAAAGTGTATTCTCCAGAGCAGCTAAGAGATTCCCAGCAGGACTGCTAACAAATGAAAACTTCCAAATTGTGTTTGGTTCTCACAAAAAACAGGCTCAAAGTATATGCTGATGAATTAAAGATATGGCCATCAGGCATTCCATGAGCCCAGGTGTACTCTTATGTACATCTTAGTTTTCATCAAATCTCTTTCCATATCAATAACATTCCCAATTTCATTTCCAAAAGAATTCTAGAAGAACTGTTATATGATATTCCTTACAGCACTTGATGTCTGGAAGGACTCCAAGAGAAAAAGTCTGTGATTGTTACTGCACATGTGAGGAGGGACATCTCCACAGTGCTTCTGTACTGCCTAACTATAGGGGAGCTCTGTCCCCCAAACCTAGGCGAAAGGTTCCACAGTCGATTTGCACCTTGTCCTCTGTGACTACATCTTTTGCCCAAGGAAACCCCAAATTATGCAAGGGGGACTGGCAGCTAGACTTTGGTCATTACATCTTAGAAGGACAGGGTCACAGATTCTACACAACCTTAAGCTCCAGACAATGTTTTCATGCTTGCCTTCATATTCACTGGACATCTAAAGCAAAAGACATGAATATTGCCTACTGTGCCTCTCCTCTGCCAGTCTCTTTGAGTAGAAATCTGACCAAAGTGTGGGTGAGAGAAACAAGGAGTGAGGAAGCCTAGAAAGACTTCTGGAAGAGGAGAGTCACCTCCTCAATACCTTATGGATGTAAGGTATACATCCATAAGGATATAAGGGTAGTTACTATTTGGGACATTTCTTCATTGTTATTTCAGGATCCCCTTCCTCCTTTATAAATTTTATACCCAACAGTGAAAAACATCTGCCCATTCTTTTGGGATGATAAAAGTTTTGAAATCAGATACAGGTGCTAGATGCACATGACTTCACTAAATGCCATTGAATTGTGCACTGAAAACAATTTTATGTTCAGTGAATTTCACTTCGTTTTAGAAAACAAAGGGAAAAAAACCAACATTTATCTATCCAGCAATGAGATAAGCACACAAGTGCCTTTTATCTCCTGATTTAAACTTCTGAAATGCTAGCATGAACGATTCCTTCAAGTTTTCAACTTATTCTTCCAAATTCTGCACTCTGCTCTCAGGACACCCACCTGCATTCTTCAGGGTTACTTTTGGCTTCATCTGTGCAGCGATAGAATTTGCCCTGGGTGCAAAACAGATAGGTTGTCAAGCACAGGTTCTTCCTTATAGAAATCAAGCCAGGCCTTGAATGAAAGCACCCCTACCTTGAACAACTGGACCCCAATGCAGGCAAACATGAACTGGAGCAGGGTGGTAACAATCATGATGTTGCCAATGGTCCGGATGGCCACGAAGACACATTGAACAACATGCTGGGGAGAAAAGAGCAGGGAGACGATAGGGTGTCAAGTGACACCCTAGAAAGGTCCTAGAAAGAGCCTAAAAAGGTGAGTTGATACCAGCCTAGGGCTTCTGTTTTACTGCACACTTTCATATCATCTTCCAACTTCACAGGCCTTTGTGTTTTACTTTCCATTGTTATTGTGAGGATTACTCCATAATTGAGCCTCTCTGGGTTCTTCTCAAGTAATTGGTTTAATTTTTAAAAACGCTATGTGGATAGCAATGTCTAGCACATAGGCTCCCAGCATCATCCCACCACCAAATAGGACTTAGAAAATACAAACCCCTCTAGATTTGTCTATGACCTGCCTGAATAGAGATTTAAAGTCAAAAATAAACACAAAGAAATACTAGTGATGAGAAAAATAATAAACATTAACCACAATGGAAAAATTGGGGATAAAAAGAAAATAAAAGAAAAACTTAAAGGACACTAGAAATTGGCAGAGTTGGCTTAATTGGTGGGGGAAAAAAAACCCCACTTGAAAATTCATCAGGCCCCAGCACAGCTCCAGTGCAGAAGCAGCAGTAATGACAGCCAAGTTTAACTCAAACCAGCCCTGCTAGAAGGATAGGAATCAATACCTTAAGTCCTTTGGCTCTGTTGATTGCTCTGAGAGGCCTCAGGACCCTTAAAACCCTCAGAATCTTCACAACAGAGATGGCACTGGATCTAAGGAAGAATAGAGGCAAAAAAGTGATTGATAGACATTCTGGATGGATAAGAATACTTTGAGATGAGTAGTTTTACTTGATCTACATCTCTTCAATTTGCCTGCTATCCATGTTGAACTGAGCTGATGCCTCTCTAGGATATCAGCACAATCTCTTTCCAACATATGCTACACACACAGTGCCTCCTGAGATGAGCCCATATGCACCCAAGAAGGCTCTACCTTAGGTTCACAACTGGCCTTGGTAGAAATGCAATTTATAAACTTGCTTTGTTCTTTTCACTAAACATAAATAGTTGTTTAGGTTGCTCCTGGCCTTTAGGTTTCAATTTGTGTTCAAGTTTAGAAACCTTTTGCAGTATTTTGGTGATGAGTTTCTCTGGCCTTCAAGAAGTGACGTCTGGCAGAAGATAAGAGTAATCACAGTCCTGAGTGGTACTTAGGACAATGAGGTGAACTCAGTGTGCTGCACTGGGGAAGTACAGCCTCGGGGCAGTCTGTGAAGGCTGACTAGAAGGGTGATAGTCAGGAAGTTGCAAAGGAGGAGCAGGAGTTAGCCGTAGAGGGGAGAGGGTCTCCAGACCATGGGAGCAGTGCATATAAAGGCACAAGGCTCCTTTGCAGCACCCCACATATGGGGACCCCTGTATAGGAGGAAGTGGGTTAGAGCTGCAGCTGGAGAAGGCAGGGAGAGTCTGGAAATTTATGGTACTTATGAAGATACAGTGTAAATGTCCTGAGCAGAGGCTAGGGGGCTCCTTTTTTCTGGGCATCAGTGAGAGGTAAGGAGGATGGCCAGGAAGGCAATGCTAGGCATGAGACCTTCGTCCTCCCCAATTACCTTTAGTTGGAGGGATGCTTGTGTACACACGTACACATATGCAGTACTAATGATCAATTCCAAAAGAGGTGTTCAGAGGCCAGCAGGAAAGTGAGGCCACAGCTGATATTCCCAATGGAGCCTCTGCCCCCAGGTCTGGCAAATGACATATAGGCCAGGCTCTGCAATGGCTATTCCCCAACAGAGATCTCCAAATACCAAGGAGGGATCTTAGGTCCTAACTTTTTACCTCAGATCCCTCCTAGCTGAAAAGCGTCAAAGGCCAAAAGGAAAGGCTGTAGTACCTGCTGCCTCCTGGAAATTTGGGTAAGTCTTCATTATTCAGGAAGGTAGGGGCCCTGAGAGGTCACCTGGCTCCAGCTCTTCCTCTACAGAAGGGGAGCTGGGATCTGAGAGAAGATGACCTCAGGCCTAGAAACAGCCCTTAGAGGAACTGGGAACCTGGCTTTCTCCCCCCTAATTAATTCTTTCACCCTTGGCTTGAAACCAGTTTCATAGGGAATAAAACAACCTGGTCTAGTAATGAGTAAAAAGAAAAAAGGAAGCACAGGAAAATAAGAATTGCCCCATCGTTTTCTGTCATGGTTGCAATCCTGTCCAAATAAATATAATCATTAAAATAATGTCTACTCTCTATGAATTACACCAAAATTTCTTATATAAACCATTGTGTTGATATTCCTAGATGTGCGTGTGTTTGGATTTGTGCTTGCACATGTGTATATGCATATAAATATGTATGTATGTACACACACAACCACACCATAGTATACTTACTGAATCCCAAATGACACCAGAGATACCCCAACAACCAGCATATCCAACAAATTGAAGTAGTTCCTGCAGAATGCCCCTTTGTGCAGGAATGCTCCAAAAGTTGTCATCTATAAACAGAATCAAAGGTCATTTGCTGTTTTTTCTCCCAGAGGTAAAGAAACCTGGGCTCTTCACAAAACTTTAAGGAAAGTATGACTTTATTAACAAATGCAAGCTGGGTACCAGTAGCTCATGCCTATAATCTTACCTAATCAGGAGGCTGAGATCTGAGAATCATTATTCAAAGCCAGACTAGACAAATCTGAGAGACACTTATCTCCAGTTTACCAGCAAAAAGCCAGAAGTGGAAGTGTGGCTCAAATAGTAGAGTACCAGCTGTGAACTTGAAAAGACCAACTGAGAGCACAAGCCCAATACTGGCACCAAAAAAACAAACACCAAACAAAACAGACAACAGCAAAGTACACATAAAAGGGCTAAGCAATCAAATAACTTTTACTCAAAATAAAACCCAAAGGGGGCAGCTGATTTCAGACACATTTTTTTTTTGTCAGTCATAGGGCTTGAACTCTGGGTCTGGGTGTTGTCCCTCAGCTCTTCAGTTCAAGTCAGTGCTCTACCACTTGAGCCAAAGTGCCACTTCTGATTTTCTGGTGGCTAATTGGAGATGAGAGTCTTACAGACTTTTCTGCCCAGGCTGGCTTTGAACTGCGATCCTCAGATCTCAGCCTCCTGAGTAGCTAGGATTATAGGCGTGAGCCACCGGCGCTCAGCTTCAGACACATTTTTAAGGAGACAAATTGAGACCTGATTACCACAATGATAGACCTCAAATATGAATGCATCACTCGCCTGACTAAAGAACTTGTCTCAGGACAGACTGCCCACGACTATACGTGATAATGTCAACACTGACAGATGACATGGTTTCCCCAAAAATGCTGGTCTGGCCTCTCTGAGGCCCCAGTTATCATCTACATGGTTCCAATTTTGCTCTTAGTCGAGGCAAGAAAAAGTGCAGGAGTTTAGCACTCACAGGTTCTGTTTACACAGAAATGTGCATTTTCCATGAAGAACCTTTACGATTGCTCCTATCTTTATCTACCCATTTCAGTTTCTCCATGTCTGGCTCCTCCAGCATATGGCAGGTATGGCAAGAAAGCTGTCATGTGACATCTCAGCAAGGTCATTCTCTCTTCCATCCTAGCCCATGCCTTGGGTAGCTGGAGCACATTTTCTGGGTATTCCACTGAGAGTTTATTAAAGAAGTTCCCCAGAGTCAAAACAGAAAAATAGAGTAATTCCGCAATTCTGAAGGGGGAAACAAGGTTAGTAGGGTTGAGGAAAGGCATAGTTGGGAAATACCACCCTGAATCTGAGAAAACTGCCAAAATTCAACCTTTCCAGCCTAAAAAAAGGTAATTTCCCAAAATTTAAACAAATGAGCAACTATTTTTCCAAATCTCCCTCAAAGTCACCCTCAGCCAGCATTTCAGATGTGAAGTAATTCTAAGTAAATCTCTGTTCTCCATTTTCTGTATCCTTCTTTTTTTTTTTTGGGTCCGGTTGTGGGGCCTGAACTCTGGGTCTGGGCGCTGTCCCTCAGCTCTTCAGCTCAAGGCTAGCGCTCTACCACTTGAGCCACAGTGCCACTTCCGGCTTTTTTCTTTTTGCTTATGTGGTGCTGAGGAATGGAACCCAGGGCCTCATGCATGCAAGGCAAGCGCTCTACCACTGAGCCACCTTCCCAGCCCCATTCTGTATCCTTCTTATTTTAGCTTTTTTTTCCATTTTGTAAAATACCTACAAAATGAAGAATGACTTAGAAGATCTAAGTCACTGAGGCAAATCTACAGAAATGGAAAAGTAGCAACTATTTTTCTCCCTCTAAAATAACCCAGGATCTCATTTTTTTTTTTCCATAGCTTGAGAGTAACAACTTAAAAGATAGAAAGTAAAATATAACTTCAATTAACCAGGCTTACGGACTAAGCAGAAGACTTCCCCATTAAGCTAGGACAGTGAATGACCAAACAAGAAGGTGAGGCTAGAAGAGATGCCAGAGAGAACGCTGGCCCACTACCAGTGTACTCTGGAGCATGGCTTTAACCATCAAGCCACCCCAGTTATCATCTGACCACTGTCCCCTTGCTCAACTCTGACTCAGAGAAGACTGGCAAGCAAATTCACTGGCTTCACTTAGGCAGGGAAATGAACCCAGGTTTAAACGAATTTTGATTGGTTTTGAGCCAATTAAAAAAAAAAAATTAACAATAAGAATGAAAAAGAAGTCACTACCTGGCCATGTTAATTGAGGTTTTATTTATAGGAGATTTTGTGAAGAGCCCAAGTTCCAACATAAAGTTATTGTTTTCCTTAAGATGCACACACGGAAACCTTAAAATGGCTTAAGGACAGCTGTAGTTCAAAGTCTTCACTTTTCAACGTCTTCACTCTAGAAGATGGTTGCTTTGACAGTTTTCATGGGCCCTGTTCTAGAATGGCAAGGACTTGCTCCTGGAGACTCTTAGCTCTCTGCTCCTAGTCTCCAGACCTCTGAGCACGTAAGAAGGAGCTCCCCAATGGGGTGGCCTTCACATTCAATACACAAACTGCATGCAGCACTGGCAACTGTTAGCTCATGCATGGGCAATACATTTAGGTCATCCTGTCTGAAAAGGTGTTCCTTTTCTTTGTGCAAATGCAAGCCCATCCATTAAAACAGAGACAAAGTATCTTAACAAAATGGACCCAAGTTCTCTTGCAAATCCAGTTGCAAGAAAATAGTATGTTACTATTTTAAGCACTGAAAACATAATGTAGTCAGAGAAACAAGAAGAGAGGCATTCCTTTCATAGGATAAATGTTTTTCCTCTGACCTTATGCCAGGGAAGGGTAAAAGAAAGTTCACACATAGTATATCTGTTATCAGTGGACAAACTTCCGAAGATTTTTTTTTCCAAAAAGGAGCAAAATGTAATTCCAACTGTTGTGAAGTCAAAGTAGCTCCTACATGCACTCAAAAGTGAAAAAAGAAAGCAAAAACAAGACGGAAGGGTCACAGGAAAAAATTCTTTGTTGAAAAAAAATTTAGCTAAATTGAAGAAGAAGAAGAAGAAGGAAAAAAAAAGCCAAAAGCACTACACGCTTCTTTCCTGTGTCTCACACACAGGAGGAGCAGGCTCTTAAACACACTGCTGGTTGCCTATTACCTTCAAAATGATCTCAAATGCAAAAGTACCAGTGAAGACATAATCTGCATAACCTAGCATCTGGAAAGTAAGCAAAACATGGCAACTATTATTGCTACAGCGGCTTTAGAGTAATGAGGATCAATGAAAAATGCCATTACCTTTAACAGGATTTCAACAGTAAAGATGGCTGTGAAAGCATAGTCAAAGTAACCCAGTATCTGCAAGGTATAACACGTGAAAATAAGAACAAGGTATAAGGACAAGCTGTGACAACCAAATGGCCACAGGTGGAACCCTCACCTGTGGTTTGAGACCCATTTTTCAGGAAAAAACTCTTGACACTCCAGAGGTAGGGCAGAAATGCTCATGAAAGTTTATCTCTGTCCAATCACAACGTCTTTGTAACCCCCAGGGAATACTGGGGAGCCTTGCCTCTTTTAGCCACTCAGGCCAAGTGGCTTCCTGGGTTTGTGTTCCTAACCAACAAGGGCTGATTTCTGGAAGTGCTATCTTAACAACCTTTCTTCATCAATAGGCTATCTACCAGTGACTTTGTGGGCCCTGATAAATTACAATCACACATATTTTGGGTTTTTAATTGTGACTTGACTGAATGAAGTACACTGCCATCTAGCTGAATTTCAGACTGGTAGAGGAACAGAAATAAGGGTGTTAGTGGCAAGGCTAGTGGTGTAGCTCAATGGTAGAGCACTTGCCTAGCGTTGCCCTGTGTTCTCTAGTATATTAAAAAAAGATGTTCATGATATCAGATAGAGCCAGAAATTTCATTGTTCTATTTCTTTTTTTTTTTTTGTCGGTCGTGGGGCTTGAACTCTGGGCCTGGGCGCTGTCCCTCAGCTCTTCAGCTCAAAGCGAGTGTTCTACCATTTGAGCTACAGCGCCACTTCCAGAGCCAGAAATTTCAACATGTCCCTTCAGCCAGTAATCCCTTTCTTTTTTTGTGCCAGGCAGGCTTAGCCTGCATGATTTTACTATCTGTCTTCCTCTAGTCATTGTACTGTACCTAATTCTACTGTCTTCCAAGTCTGGTTTTTTTTTTTTTTTTTTTTTAATCCTCTCAACGGATAGACTGGCTTCTAAAGTTCTCTCAGTATTTCTGAAAATACCTTCTAGTACCCTACAGGGTCCATGATGGAGTCTCTGTACTACTGTACTACTGCAGGGCAAGGGGCCAGCAGCAAAAAGTCTAACCGCCCCAGCAAGGACATTTGCAGGGAGGGGTCTGCACACCACTGCACCCTCAGTGGTTTTCATGGAACTGCAGATGTCAAAGATAGAAGGACTGAGGAGATCACCCTGGCCTACTCTTTTTATTTAAGAGATACAGGTACTGGAAATACTGGGGCCACCGGTTCAGTCACAGCATTGCTGTGAAAGTCAAAGGCACAAGGACCTTGGAAATCAGCCAGGTTATTTTACACATGGAGACACTGTAGGGGAGTGTGCTATTGCTCCTTCCCAGTAAGATGAGGACCTCTGCTTCAGGGCCAGCTTTCCTCAGAGCAAGTGCTCTTTCCAAGGGTACTCTCCTTCCAAAATGTTCCTGTTAAAAAAGCCGGGCACCGGTGGCTCATGCCTGTAATCCTAACTACTGAGGAGCTGAGATCTGAGGATCATGGTTCAAAGCCAGCCCGGGCAGAAAAGTCCATGAGACTCTTATCTCCAATTAACCACCAGAAAACCAGAAGTGGTGCTGTGGCTCAAGCGGTAGAGCGCTCACCTTGAGCTGAAGAGGCAGGGACAACGCCCAAGCCTAGAGTTCGAGCCCCATGACCGACAAAAAAACAAAAAACAAAAAACAAAATGTTCCTATTTCTGAATTTAACATTTCTGTTTAATTGTGTTTCCTGGCCAAGCAATGGAAGGCATTTTCCATATATTATCAAGCCCTGCCACCTTCTCTTCGTTCTCCTCTAGAACACAGTAAGATAATAATGTTGAAAACATCCAGCAGCCAGCATCATTGCTGCCAAGCCTGCTTGGTACCCAGGCTCCAATCTAAACATTTAGATTTAAGTTCTCTTCTCCTTTGTTTCCCTTAGTTTTCTTTGCCATTAAGAATCCAGCTACTGATTAAAGAAACACTGTAATGCTTTAAAAGCAATACATACATGCATGTACATTTATTAAAGAGAACAATTATAGTTTTGGGAAAAGCAGCAAGGAAACAAATTTGTGGAGAGAAGATTATAATAATAAAAAAGAAACCAGAAGTTCCTATGTAAACTGTTTCTCAGTATGTACACTAGACTCAATGACACAGAGGCTTTTGTGCTTTTCCAATGTCTGGATCTCTGACAAAATCTTTTGAGGACTGATTAAGACAGGCTCAATGCTGTCACTGTTACACAGACACTAACACATACCACAGGAAAAGTGTTTTTCCCCTTCACATCAGAGTTCATGTCTTATCGCTGCCATAGATCACTTGGCCAGGTACTTAGTAGGGAAAAACAGTATGAAGCCTTCTTGTTATGACTGAAAACTGGGTGCACTGCTCTGCTGATCTGCCTTAATTCTAACGTCTCTAAGAATCTGATACCTCCTACACTTGCTAGTCTCCTTTCTCCTGGAGGTGTGTCAGTGATCAACTGAAACTGCATTGTAGTGACTGGGCCTGATAGTCAGTCATCAAGCCATTAGATCTTGGAAGCTGTCTGGCCTTTGGAGTTTCCTCAGTACTGAGTTGGCTAAATGCCTAAGATGGAGCTGTTAGAACAAGAACTAATTTCAGTGCAAGTTTCTTTACAATAAGGCATCTGTGGGTGCTACCATTAAGTTAGGAAGGTGAGGAACAGTAGATAACTTAGTTCTCTGTTTTCTTAGCATAAACACATTCTACCACTCCCAAACCTCAAGTTTCTCTTTCTATGGAACCCTCAACTTACATCCCATTATCTTCCTAACTTATATTTCTCCTCAGAAATGGAGCCCGGTATCTTTGTGTATAGTCCACTTGAGAGAAATCTTTCCAAGTAAGAACTTCTGGCCTTGTGTGGCATGCCTGGATTCAATTTTACCTTCTTGCTATTTGTTCCCCTTAGGCCCAAACCTCCAAGATGTGACTGCGTATATCTGATGGGGAAGGGGAAATAGGGACCAAAATGTCAGCAGCAAGGAGAACAGAGGAAGAAACGCAGAGTCCATGGATGCATTACCAAGTTACTGTAGAGGACTCTAAATAAAGGTCACAGTACATAATACCATTCAGATGGGTCTAATAAAGCAAAAGCTGTGGCGCTCATAACCTGGAAAACAGAGCTACAGGCGTATGCGATCTTCACTCTTAGGTCTCCTGGAGCCTCGGGACATCATCTGCCTGAGAAAGGACAGTGCTGACCCCAGAGGGAATCCCACCCACCTCTCCTCTCTCACAGGCTTACAGTGTTCCGGAAGGAGTGACTGCGAATGGGGTCCTCGGCAGCAAGGGCGGCACTGCTCAGCATAATGAAAACGAGGATGAGGTTGGTGAAGATATGGTGGTTGATGAGCTTGTGGCAGCCTACACGGATCCTGTGGGGAAAGCCAACACAGGGACACAGGCTCAGACAAGGGCCTAAACAGGCTGGGTTTTTAAAAGTAGAAGGCCCCCGTAGTGGTGATGGATCAGAAGGAGATGGTTGTCTCAGCTGGACCACCTATGCCCCCCACCCAGGTAGAAACGAGTGATCCACTCTTCACCCCATAAAGTCTACCACCAGCTGACCCTATATGGCTGTTGAGGGGACAAAAAAATGACCAGCTCTATGCTGGGTACTCCAGAGATCATTTCATCCAATCCTTAGAAGTAGGGATTTCTGTCTCCCAAAATATGGGGGAAATGAGGAAATGAGGCTAACATATGTGAGGGAACTTGAAGTGACACAGCTAGTAAAGACCAGACGCTGATTTCCAATCCAGGTCTATTTGATTCTGAAGTTTTCTACACACAAAGCCTGACAGCATATCCTCCCTGCCTTAGAAAGAAAACTGTCAAGTTAAACTGAATTTTACCTACAATGATTCCCTATCTTGAGTCCCTCTACATAATGAACAAACTATAATCTACCTTGGTTCCAAAGCTAACTAAAGGACCAACTTAGGAGGATAACTCCCCAACAAGCATACCAATTACAACAGCCATGCCTCAGCCAATTACAGGCTGCCAACTACTCCTACGATGCTCAAATAAGGCACAGGTGGTACCATAGCCAGTCAAGCGGTCTCTTTTCCTCTCTTTCCATATCTGTCCATAAATGCTGCTGCTCTGAACCTCTTTTGATTTCCAGGGATGCTTGATTTGTGACTCATTCTTTGATAAATTAAACTCAGTCCGATTTATCTGAAAATTTTAACACAAAGAATGAAACAAATTCCTTTTGTGTACTATGGGTGCTGTATTAAAATAGGACTTGCAGTGAGGGCTGATGAAATCTGTCATCTAAAGATTTTTGGCATAAAAGTTTTATTGTCTATGTGTGTGCGTGCACGCTTTATGTGTGCACACATGCACGTGTGTGTTGACTGGTTCTGAGGCATGCACTCAAGGCCCGGGACCTACCCCTCAGCTTTTTTGCCCAAGGCTAGTGCTCTACCACTTGAGTCACAGTTCCACTTTTGGCTTTTGGTGGTTAACTGATGAGTCTCATGTACTTTCTTGCCCAGGCTGGCTTCAAACCAAGATCCTCAGATCTCAGCCTCCTGGGTAGCTAGTATTACAGGTGTGAGCCATGACTGGAAAAAGTCCTAATTTTTAATTTTAGAATTGACCCCCAACTAGAAGTCCTTAGAAAGAGAAGTCACATCATCATTTGCTAACATGTAAAGATCTCACTGCATTATATGCTGTAGTTCTTTCTGAGTCCTGAAGCCCCATGAGGCCAGGGAGGGCTGCTACCTATCAGGTTGCTTAACAACTGACAACTGACTGACTTTACCCTAAACACATGTTTGCCAAAGACTATACATAGGTTTTCCCTTGAAAGACTTTTTTCATTATTAGACTCTTCTCTTTTGGGGCATTCAGTGCTGGTTCCCTTAACTCCCCCTGCTGAAGGTTTGTTAGTTGTTAGCAACTGAATCTGCAGCTGCAGAAGACCTTCTAAAGCAGCGAAACAGGAGTGCTCTTGATTTTTGGGGGGAAAATCAAGTCAAACATAAAGTGCTGCAGGTGTCAGCAAACATCAGGGTAATCATCTCATCCTCCTTTTTTTGGTGCCAGTCCTGGGCCTAAGCACTGTTCCTGAGGTTTTGTGCTCAAAGTTAGTGCTCTACCACTTGAGCCATAGCTCTAGTTCTGGCTTTTTGGTGGTTAAAAATAAGAATCTCACACAGTATCTTGCCTAGGATGGTTCCAAACCAGAACATTCAGATCTCAGCCTCCTCTGGAGCTAGGATTACAGGTACCTGCCATCCTTTTTTTTTTTTTTTTGGACATCCCAAAAGTAATGAGCTGTAAAATCAATCATCAAATTTTCACCTCTCAAGGACCTGTGAATTATGCAGTCTTCCTTTATGACAGCCAAGAACTCCGCCTGCAATTCTAGAAACCTTTCCAGGAGCTACCTATTCCCCTTGGCAGTTCACTTAATCCCAGATGATTAAAACCTACAAATGAGCTAGTAAATAAACTTCTTCCGCCTACAGTATATGTGAGTCACTACCATGTTCCTGGTGAGTACCTTATTATTTCAGTATGAGAAATACTATTTAAAGCAGTGTATCCTAGAGCTGAAACAAATACTTATAGCTTATAAATATCACCAGGACATATTATTTCATGGTCATAAAAAAGATCACCTAAATGGGATATGAGGATGAAGATACCGTGCAGAACTCGGTCACAAAATTCTTGTCCCACAAAGCATCTTAGAAAATGTCCACTGGTTAAGAAAGGGCTCTAGGGGCTGGGAAGGTGGCTCAGTGATTGCCTCGCATGCATGAGGCCCTGGGTTCAATTCCTCAGCACCACATAAGCAGAAAAAGCTAGAAGTGGTGCTGTGGCTCAAGTGGTAGAGTGCTAGTCTTGAGCTGAAGAGCTGAGGGACAGCTCCACTCAGGCCCAGAGTGCAGGCCCCACGACTGAAAACAAAACAAAACAAAAAAGCAGAAGAAAGAAAGAAAGGGTTCTAGGCCATTGCATGGAAGAGCAGAGTGGTCAGCTTCAAACAGAAAATCTTGATGATCACAGACATTTGCTCCATTGCTGTTCCCAGGCAGAAGAAGAAGGGGAGGACAATCTAGAACATCATGCCTTCCAGTATATGGTCACAACCTTAAGGGAAAAGAACTGATGGTTGAGGCAAGAAACAAGCAGGGAGGGATTGGTAGGGAATTGGGGGATCCTGGGACACTTGCGTTCAGAAGAGGGCTGCAAAACCACTTCCCCTTCTCCCACCCAGCCATCCTCAAGCGACCTGTAGAGTCACTGACTGCAGAGAGGTGGTAGTGATGGGACTAGAAAGGGTATATTTACGGGTTGGTCTTGCTAAGAATGAAGAAAGCGCTTCCTTCAGGGATGGGAGCAATTTTCTCCTTCATGTTCAACTCTGAGATTCTGCGAGGACGGGGACCAGCAGGAACCTCGGGTTCATCCTCTTCTTCCTCCTCTTCCTCTTCACCTACTTTAAATAAAACAGTTTTTATAGGCATAAAATAAAAAGATTGCATATGGGTTTTAATTACCGTTCCCAATTTTACCAATTTAAAATGTGGCTTAAATATTAAGAGCATTTACTGCTTATCTAATCAAAACCTCCCTGCTTCTTCAGAATATGGACTGACTAGAGTTGGGGGTGGGGAGACAGCCCTCTCTGGTAAGTGTGTTCAGCTGTGGGAAGGAAGTTCTTTCTAGGCTATGATCTGACACAGGTAAAAGTGGTCATGATGGTGGTATTCTCAATGACATATTCCTAGCACCTGGCTGTTTCCCCAGCTTCAGGCTGAAAAAGCTCTATGTGGGATTTCAAGTTACAGATAAACAGCCCCTGAACTATCCAAGTCCGGCTTTTATCATCCAATGAAGGCATCAATGAAATGAAAAAGTGTCAGGTAAATGCTAACAACTGATCTTCCACAGAGTTCTGTCAGCAAAAGTTGGGCCAATACTGATCCAGCTGCACATTCCTTCTCCACCACCCTGCATGGAATTGTGCATCTATGCTGCCTGTGACTGTGGGATATAGCAGAACTAACTGACCCACCAGGAAGTTGATCCCATTGTCTTGGTGGCCTAACTAGGTCAGCGTAAAGGAGGGAGGCCACAGCAAAGCCCTGTCTCATCTCATGAGCTGAGAGCTTGTCTCTGGCCTTCACCATCATACCTGGCACATCACAAGGTGGGTAAGGATCTTTGTCTTCATCCTCTTCTCGATAGTCATCAATTGTAACCTAGGATAAAAGAGATGTTTCAGGAGGAGAGAAGACAATAGCTCCAATATACTCTAGAGGGCCAAAGGGTAACCAGCTGGTCAGCACAGGATAAGGTATTCTTCTCCTGAGTGTCTGTGTGTGAGGACAGGGCCTATTATATGGGGATTCTGCTTCAGACAGAGGCTTGAGCCCAGTTGAGAAACATGATGCCAACTTGGTCCTGGGTTCTTCTGATGTCCCAGTGTAGTAGTTGTACATATTCTATAATAACATTTGGAGCCGGGTGTCAGTGGCTCACACCTGTAATCCTAGCTACTCAAGAGGCTGAGATCTGAGGCTCGAGGTTCAAAGCTAGCCCAGGCAGGAAACTCCGTGAGACTTTTATCTCCAATAAACCACTCAGAAAACCAGAAATGGCTCTGTGGCTCAAGTGGTAGAGCACTCACCTTGAGCTAAAGAGCTGAGGGACAGCGCCCAGAGTTCAAGCCCCGTGACTGACAAAAAAAGAAAAAAAAGAAAGAAAAAAAAAGGAAAAATAACCACATTTGGATTCCTGACTCTAGATGAGATTCTGAGTTCCATGGAGGTAGAGAACCTGTCAGTCTTTTTCATTCCTGAATCGAGTGCCTGACCCCACAACTGCTACTCAGAATTTATCAATTCAATGAACAAATAATGGAAACTTCCACAGCTGTCCTAAGTGTGATGAAGTCTGACAGTGTGGCCCTAAATCCTCCCAGATCAACAGATCCTGGGATCACCACTGGGAACAGATGTCTACTAAAAATCTCAGGTTTAATACCAGCTTGAAAGATGCTAACAGCACTATGACCAACACAGGGAAACAAGAAGTCAAACTGTCTTGGTTCTATAGTGAAATGTTAGTTAACAGATAGCTCCCTGACTAAATTCAATCACAAGCCCTTGAGAAGTCAGCATCTATATAATATGCTCTACGTTCACACCAAAACATTACATATGAGACATGTCACAGCCAAAGTGGTACATTTATGGTGATGCCAACAGAATCAGACTGAAACGAAAGGCAGAGAAGTTATTTTAGTACATACCTTGTTGTCACTGTTGGCTACCTGGTTGACTTCTGGTTTGTTGTTCTTTTTATTTTCTAGACTCTCTTTTCTATAAAGAATACAAGAAACAAAATAACCATATTGCCACATATAAAAATGTTAATCAGGATTCTCAATCAACAATGTCCCAATGAAGGACAGAATTTAATTGAAAACAACACTAACAGAAAAAGCACAGCACAGCCCAAACTCGGAGCTTCCGGTTCATCTAATGCAATGGATTCATTATACAGATCATCTTATTAAAGCCCCTATCCAAGAGCTAATCAGCATTGAATGCATCATTTGTTTTATGATGCCAAAATTAACTGCAATGATGCTTTAGAATGGAAACGTGTGACTCCCATTCTCAGCTCTGAGGATAAAAGCTAAAGGCTTGGCTTCCTTCCAAGATTCTTTCCTCTTTGGCCTGCACCACATGGTCACCTCCATGAAACATGGAGGTGCAGCTCCTATGAAGCACATTTGGATTTATCAGGTCTTTCAGGCACCTGGGCTTCCCAAACTCCTCAGTTAAGAACTCAGACAAAAAAATGGAGTTACCTGGCAATCTTTTTTCTTTCCTTCTCTTCAGCTTCCTCCTTCTGAGCAGTATTCAAACTTTCAGCATCAGCCAAATTATCAACAGCGATGGCCAAGAAGACATTCAGTAGAATATCTGATTTCAAGATTTTAAGGCCACAACAGATGACTGAATGCAACTACACACGGTCAGCAATGACAATGCCATATTCCATCCTTCCACCCCTTGTTCTGTAAGGCTGGTAGCAGGTAACTGTCCCTAGTGTGGGCACTTAATAAAATCAGAGGACTTGGGAAAGACATGCTCCTCAACAAAGAAACAAAGAAACAAAAACCTTTTAGAGAGTTATCTGAAAAGAGCTAATATCAAGACTCTCTGAAATCCAGAAAAATCTACAAATGTCAACATTTCCTGTTGTTTTCATAAATCTATGTATCTATAGTTGATGCACATTGCACAAAACAATCTAATAATATCGATGTGTTTTAGATTCTTTGGAAATATATAACATAACACACATAGTGAGGGCAGCTCTTTTCAAACCAGACTCCTTCAAAGCCATACATTTTTCTAATAGATATTAGATTTTCTTTGAAATTGCTTTTGGGTCTTTAGATAATTCATTCATTTCTTCACTCCATAAACATTGAAAGCTGGTAACATGCTACCTCCTGCCTGCCAGACGGTGCTGTTCTATCTTCTGAAAAGTCCTATTGTGGCTAGATCTTTGATAATTGTGATTCAACCAGAAATTTTCACATAGTAAAAGTCAGGTAACCAAGTTACCAGGATTTTGTTGTTGTTGTCATATGTGGTTTCCTTGAAATCTTTTTTTTTTTTGCCAGTCCTAGGGCTTGGACTAAAGGCCTGGGCACTGTCCCTGAGCTTCTGTTGCTCAAAGCTAGCACTCTACCACTTGAGCCACAGCACCATTTCTGGTTTTTCTGTTTATGTGGGCTGAGGGAATCGAACTCAGGGCTTCATGCATGCTAGACAAACACTGTACCACTAAGCCACATCCCTAGCTCTGAAGCCTTTTTTTTAAAGTATCCTGAACTGTAATATTATCAAAGCAGAAGATGCAGGTTTCTTATTCGGAGTGCAATAGATAAAGTCTGTGCTGGATGAATGCTTCTCTGTCTGAGATAAGAGCATGAGATCACTGCCCCATATGTCTTGTGTAAGCTGAAATCCCGAGCAGTGCTGAGCACGCAACCCAACATAAGCCTTCAGGGATCCTGTGAAGGGCTATTGCGCTTCTATTCAAGGCTTCAAAAAGGATGGAAATGTGAGTGAACTACAGTAAGACTGTCACAATACCTTTGATGTATCAGTGTATTCTGGAGCTGCAAGGAGCTCAAGAAAGCCATGTCCTGGGTGGAGAGAGCTTGAGTACTTCTCTGATGGACATGGGGTGATGGTGACTTAGATAAGGCTCAGTGCTAGGAACCACAGTTCTGACTATGTCTCTCAATGAAGACATAATTGCTTCTCAAGCACTAAACTCTTTTGGGCCATGAAGAGCAAATGTGAAATAATAACCTGTAAGAAGGTCGTATAGATCCCTAACAGATGGTTTCCAAAGGCAAAACCCATCATCTGTGTTTAGCGACATTGCCCACACCTCAGAAATAGCAGTTCACTCTGGAATTCATTCCAAAGTCTACCAAGCACCTCCACCAGGCTAGCTTCTCTTCTGGGTAGTGAAGACATGGCAGGAAACATGAGAAAATGGAACATCTTGCTGGGGACACAGAACATAAATAACTCTTAAGTATCTCACACATGTGTTACAAAGAACTTGAAATAAAATCAAAGAGAAGTGGTGGGGAAATACTCTGCAGTCTATCCTGCTGTGGTCTAAACAGCCAATCATGAGGACAGCAAAAAAAGAAAAGATTGACCATTCATTGAACAAATTTTTACCAAAGGCCAACTATGCATAGGCCCTACCCTATAATGAGAAGTGATATGGAAAAGGAGGGTAGGGAACAGAGTCAAAAATTCAATTCATATCCTACAAAAGGATTAAGTGACAAATGGGATGGGCCTAGAGTGGTAACATTGATGAAGACACATTGTATTCCTAAACTCTTTTGTTGGATGACAACTCCTGTGTAAAACTACTTAAATAAAAATATTTTTTTAAAAAAAGAAGATACTGAATTTGAGAAACTGTTGTCTAAGCCAGGTATAGTGGTACATATTTGTAATCCCAGTTATTTAGGAGGGAGAGGAAAGAGGATTGTGAGGTTGAAGTCAGCCTCAAAGTTATAGAAACTCTTCTAACTGAAAAAAAACAAAATATAAACAAAAGGGCAAAGGTATTGCTTAAGAAGTAGAGTGTTACGCTTACAAGCATAAAGGCTTGGATTCAATCCTGAGAGGGAAGAAGAGGAAGAGGAAGATGAGGAGGAATGGGAAACAGAGGAAGGAAGGGAAAGAGGGTAAGGAAAGATGAGAGGGAGGAGGAAGAAGACAAGGGAAAAAGAGCAGGAAAGAGGAAAGGGAGGAGATGCTGTTATCTAGGTAGAGGGATGGAGGTAGAGGGATGGAGGACTACCTACACACAGACTCTGCCCCTAGCAACAGATGTGAATAAAATCTAATAGGGTCTCAGAGGTCTAGAAGGAACTGGACAGATTGCTCCCTGGAGAAGGGTAAAATAAAGCTGAGTCCAGGGACAAGCAGAGTATCTCCAGGCTAAGATACTGTTTTCATAGAAACTTTACAACATAAACATCCTTACAGAGGATAACTGGACAGGTTTGTACAAAGGTTCCCATAAGAAGAAATTTCATCAATGTAACCAAGAAGATGAAAGGGGAATCAGCTGAAGGGAGTCCTTAGGAGGAGAATTCAGATGAGGTCTTATTTTGGAGGGTGGGGGAGGAGGGAGGAGGCTTTCTTTTTTATTTTACATTTTAAAATTATCATTAATTACTTGTTTGTATACAGGGGTTTCAATTCAGCATATCATTTTTTTCTTTATTGAGAAGGTAATGAGCAGGGGGTTACAGTTATATAAAGTAATAAGTACTTTTTTGAGAGCTTTTATGGCACAAAATGTTTATAGCTACAAGTTATACACGAATTGTAAACTGTATAGAATGATATAAAGTGCTAACTAAATAGATGAGAATGCATAATCACTTTGGCTCAGTTCATTCCAATCATTTCACCAGTGGTCCACTTAGAAAGCCTCCTCTGTCTGGAGCAGTCAATCTTACTGCAGCCCCGCACTCTGCTCTTCTCACCGAGCATGCGTGGCTGTCTTGCTCCCGATTTTATTTACAAGTATTTTAAGCCAGGTTTCACCAAGCGTAAGAAAAATGAAATCTGCCTTTTGGTCCCCAAACTGTAAACAGGTGTAAAGGTTTTAAGCATTAATCTTAAATTGTCACAGTTATTTATCGAGTTCTCCTTTCCAATGACACAGTTTGTCTGCATTGTGTCCCACAGTAGGGCCACCAACTCATCATGGTAAGCTCTACCGTGTTCTAGCTGGAATTCCACATCACAGATGCTTCAACAAACATATAAAACTAAATTTATTTCCAATAGCAAAAACAGTAATACACCCAAAGCTCAGTGGCACTGGTAGACGGCTACTGAGGTTCTCAGGAAGGGAATGCATTGCCTGTCAGTTACTGACTGCTCTCCTTCATGATGCCAATTTCAGCAAAGTGGACACTGCGGTAGTCAGCTTTATCCATCTTGCCAATTTTGTCCAGACTTTTCAAAAACCATCCAATCTGCTCTTTTTCTTCCCAAAGAAATCTGACTATGAACACTTGAAATATGTTAGAAGGCCAATCAAGTGTTACCAGGTCTAAGAAGTAAGTCAGAAACAAGATATGAACATATTCAGACATCAGATGAAAAACAAAGAAAAACAAAGTAATTCAGAAAACTATTTGGGATATGTCATCTTTCCTAAAGACAGACAGCTGTATTCTTGAAAAAAAAAAAAAGATAGAAAATAATGGTTGTTTCTCTGTGTTGTTTCCATTCTAGCATGAGCATTACAACCTTGGTCAAGGAAGGGCTGGTTTTCTGCAAAGGGGAAAGCTGGCAGCCTGGTGCTGCCCTCAGAGACTGCGCGATCTCCTCAACAATGCTTCTCTAAACACTCAACAGCAAGGTCGACATCATCAACAGCCACTTGTGATATATAACACACATAGCAGTGCCCTTTAGGGCCATGCTATGTTCTGAAATCCAACAAAACCTACCCAAAGAATCAGTAATTCTGCTGTTTTCTAAGGATTTGGTCCTAAAGCTTCATATTATAGAAACAAACAAGGTCTGTCAGGGAGGATCTGTTAGTATTCCGGAATGGAATGCCAAGAGCTCAGCCTAATCAGCCCCTCCCCACACCTGCAGGACCCATCAGGGAGAAGGGGCCCCAAGGAAATGAGTGGCATGTCACCCGTTCCCACAACCCAAGTCTGCTTTCCGAAGTTACACAAGTGCTTGGAAGAACTCGGAAGCAAAGGTCTTCAGCGTTTAAAGGCTGCAGAATGTAAGTAAAGCTTCCTAAAACAAGAAACCTGGATTAACACCATGAATTGGACTCATTTCAAAGTCTCTTCTTAGAGAAAATAAAGAAATAAAAAAGAAAATTAAAGGCCATGAAAAATTTACATGTAGCTAAACACTTGAAAATACCGGTACTCACAAAAATCTCAAAAGCCATTTCATATCTAGGCCTGAGACGCTCCTTATCAGAAATAAAGCCTCTGCCACAGAAAAGACACATGACAAGCAGCGGAGATGAGTCCTACACTACGCTCCCTATCCTGCACACCCACAGGCACCATCAGGAGGCTTGGAAAAAATAGCTCCAAAGCTGCTTTCAAATTATTTTTATTGCCCAGGATATTTTTTTCTTGTCTCTTGCTTTTTTTTTTTTCAGTTTTTGTTTTCTTTTTAATAACTATAAATTCAAGCTTAGGGAAGCTTGTCTTGAGGTCTTGGAAAATAAAACCAAAACAAAACAACAAAGCTCTTTCTAGCATCATTTCTACCCTGATCTCATTTTAAGAGAGATGGTAGTTACATGGCCAGAGTCAAGTTCTTATCATGAATGACACGGGTTCAGTTCTGGGGGTGCTACACGAGACGACGGCATGGTTGACAAAACTATAATCTGCTGGTGGCATTTGTGGAAAAGAAGCCCTTGCAAGTTTCTAGACAACAGGAAATTCTGTTAGGAAGTTCTAAAGTGTCTTACCGGCCCCAGAGGGAACAAGTTAGTAAAATGCCTCCACCGAGTTTGAATACTGGATTTCAGAGTTACTGGACTGGATGTGCAAAACCAGGGTGGTAAGTTAGATACCTGGGCTCCTCCCTCCTTAGTAGGTGCTGGCAGAGGGTATTGCTCAGGCATTTTCCTATATAGATGTCTAGCCCCAAAACCAGGATGTGAGAAAGGAAGTGATGGAATGAACACCCTCAGGAACTCTGCAGAGAAAATGCCTCCTTTCTTCATGGCTCCACTTTTCCTCATGCTTAGCGATACAACATGTTTAGGGTGCCTGAAGTGGAACTCCTTGGGCGGAATGTTCTCGGGTCTACTGAACCAGTCTGATATCCAATCTGCAGAGATTCTGCTTCTTTCTCTCGTTCTCCAGCTTCTTCTTCTGAGAGCTGTGGTCCAGGCTGGTGTGCATCTCCACGACAAACATAATCTGCCTGTCTTCTTGTGGGGAAGGGCTGTCACAATGGGAGCTGCCTCTGGAGCTGCTCTGCTCTGACTCATGCTGGACACCCAGAAGAATCTTTTCCATGTCTCCGCTAAGGATGGAGGATTAGGAGGGCTCATGCTTCAGCCCTCCGTTCTTCCCATTGCTGGGTACCTCCACGCAGGAACCTGTGAACTTGCCTCTCCGCTGTCTCCTAGGAGTTCCTTGCCTTCCAGGGTTTTCATTAAGCCCTAGGGATGTGGAAGGAGAAGCTACAGGCAGGAGGAGGATTTGGGAAGACACTAGCCAGTACATTTGTTTTTAATCACTGTTATCCCCCTCATTTTCTCCCACTTACCCCTCCATATTCCCCTCCCCCTCCAAGCTGTAAAGTTCATTTCCAACATAGTGTCAATATGATATTGTCCCATTTGTAAAGAAATGGACAGACCTGGAAATATTATATTAAGCAAAGTAAGTCAGATCCAAAGAAAAAAATTAGGGAAATGATAAAACCTACTTAAGAACTAGAATATGTCTTTGATATTCTTAACAGGGGTCTCAATAACCCAATTGCTAAGTACAAAAGACCATATATAATAAAGTATCAACATGAACTCTAAGAATTGGAAACAAAAGTTTCTTATGATTTCCTGTATGCAGTTATTATTTCTTTTTTATGTTGTAATTTTCTGTACCCTTTGTCTTGTATATAACTTTATTTGATCTATGGAAAGGAAAGGGAATCACAGACAAAGGATGAACTAATGCAGCAGATCAATTTATGCATCTGTCTCCCCAGCTCTCCCAATGCCACACATCACCTTAAGTTGAACTACTATGACCAGAACCACATGCCTAGGCTTCCAAATGTACACCTGCCCTTCTGCAAATTGAGGCAAATCAAAGGGATACTGTGTCCATACTCATTGAAATATCATTGTATCCACTCAAAGGAACTTGATATTAATATGAAATAGTTTATTTTGGCAGAAACTGAAGCACTACTGTGGGAATCTGGTCCAAATAAGGACTTTTTAAACTGGAAGAATGAAGATTAAGAGGTAATATTCATATGGGTGTACAATAGTTTATTCTTCACAGCATTTTTCAGGGGGTCTATATGCCAGGTCTTGTCATGCAGGACCTAGTCCAAGGTAAGATAGACATAACCAAAGGTTCTAGGACTATGAAAGTCTGATGGAGGTAAATAAACAGACCCAAGGACCAATTTCCAAGGTCTAGGATAACAGAGTGCATCTGGGAAAAGGAGGGAAACAAGTGAGAGAAAAGTTCCACATCATGATTAGAAGGTAGACAATGGACACTTGATAATCAAAGATATTCAGGTACAGGCTAGTCGACTGAAAATGGGTCTTAAAATGATATGGAGGTCATCCTCTGAAGGATAACACAGAACCACCAGGCTTTCCCTCTCTACCATAGGCTCGTCCATTGGGCATGTACATGACACTGAGCTGGATAGTCACCAGTATCAGTACATGTGCTGTCTCCTCTGGTTTGACTCGCTTAACCAGCTGGTGTTCCTTAAAGCCCACTGGAGATTTGCTCACATTATACTGCCCGTCCCCCAGCAATGCTGAGGGAAAGCAGATAGTGAGCCAGCAAGGGAGGGGCATTTATACAATCCCCCCCCCCACACCAGATACCATACATATAGCAGTTGCTACCCCAGCATCATTACAGAACAATTCAGAGAAAGAAAAACAAGGCAATGACAATGACAACAAAGCCCTGGTGGGCCTGAAGGATACAGTTGCCACAAATGAAGAGGATGATGAAGTAGATGCAGACGATCATTCCTGAGGAGGAGGGGCCTCCATAAGCCATGATGCCATCATACATCACGGCATTCCAGTCTTCACCTGTCAGAATCTAAGAAGCCAAAGCCAGGATCAGACAGCAGGCCGGGTCACCACTTACTCTTTCACAGCGCTGTGGTGGCTGTTTCTGGTTGAAGTTGCCTTTTATATTAGAATATGAATCCATCTATTACCTCATAGAATTTTCAAAATGTTATTTTTAATTAGATAGATGACGTATTTCTTCTAGTGAAAAAAAAGACCTTTACAAATAAGACGTACCTACCCTTTGCTAACTCCCAGCTCAGTTTCTGTTCCCTCCTCAAAGATAAGATGATGCTGGTATCTCTCTCCCTCTCCCTCTCTCTGGGACATCTGTCTATGGATTAAAATTCATGTACACATGCCCACAAAAGGCAGGCAGTTGGTGTCATCTCTGATTTTCTAGGCACAAAGTATATCACATTATATGAATTTTTCTGCAGCTAGCTTCTTACCCTGACCCCATTCAACAATGCTTCCTCAAGATTTTCTGTGTTAGTAGTTTCATCCAATTCTTTTAAATTACTACATAGTATTCCACATGGTTAATCTACTATGGAAATAATTATATCCATAAGAGTTTTGAAACATTAGAGAAGTCTAAAAGTCTCATGCAGATACTACCAACCACCTCAAGTTTCAAATTTAATCTTTTCTATTGATAATAGAAAAGATAATAGAAATAGAATACGGACAGCTATTTTAACAAAAATGCCACTTTCCAGGAAGAGGGCTCCATTATCTTCTACCTGGACTAGGTATTTAATAATTCAAACCACTGTGGATTATAAACAACAAAATGAGCAAGAAATTAGAAATGATAAAATTATTCACAAAAGGAAGTACAAATAGGTCTTAAGAAGATACATTCAACTTCACAAAAGGAAGTACAAATGGCTCTTAAGAAGATACATTCAACTTCACAAAAGGAAGTACAAATGGCTCCTAAGAAGATACATTCAACTTCACGCTTGATAAAATTATGATGAGATGCCATTTGCCTGTCAGATGGCAACAACTGTCAAGTATGAAGACCCACTGAGGTGAAGAGAATGAGGCAAAGGAGGCCTTCTCATTGCTGCCAGAGAGCAAATGATCACAACTGTAAGCAGAGCATTTCATCAAGGGTACTGAAGATTAAGAATCTGTTTATACCCTTTCTAATAGCATTTACACTTGAGGGACTTGTTCCTACACATCTGCCTTACACACATGTCACATAAGTCTTATGTGTACGGACCACCTGGAGCCAAGACTGGACAACTAAATTCTCATCCAGAGGGAGCGCTTATTTGCAGGATGGTGATCCACACCACTGAATGTAGGTAGTCTTTAAAGGGAGGAGGTGACCTTTTATATAACAGGTAGGAAGGCTTTTAAGGTCAATTTAAGTGAATAAAAACATCCTAGTTACTCAGGAGGCTGAGATTAGGAGGACTGTAGTTCTAGAGATAAGGTCATAAGACTTGATCTCAACAGAAAAGTTTGGCATGGTGGCATGTGCTCATAATTTCAGCCACAGAGGAAAGCAAAAATATAAGAAGCTCTCAAGGTACAGGTACATGCCCATGCAAGAAGCAAAACCCTAGCTCAAAAATGACCAGAGAAAAAGAGGCATCAGGGGCTCATTCCTATAATACTAGCTACTTAGGGGGGGCTGAGAACTGAGGATCACAGTTTGAAGTTAGTGTGGGCAGGAAAGTTTGTGAATTTTACCCCCAATAAAGTGTCTCCTGCTGCCTCCCCCCATGAAACAAAAGCCAGAGCTGTGGAGTGGTAGCTCAAGTGGTCAAGTGCTTGCCTTGAGAATAAGAAGCTTAGGATAGTACCCAGACCCTGAGTTTAAGCCCCAGGAGCCCCCCCCCCCCCCCGCCACATACATACAAACATTGATTCATGACTCAATGGTACAGTGCTTGCTTAGCAAGTATAAGGCCATGAGTCAAAACCCTAGTACCGCCAGCAAAGTAAACAAACGAAGATGTAACCATGTAGAGTGAGCCATTATCTGTGTAAATTCATCTACAGGTGTTCAGGTAGACTGGCTTATATCTATGAGCAAATAACATATCTAAGACTACACAGTAGAGAGAAATAGCTTAGTAGTAGTTGCCTCCTAGATGATGAAATTAGTGTCTTTGTGAGAGAATTATCAATTCATATCGTTTTGTAACACTTAAATTTTGTGCCATATGCATGTACCAAAACAAAAAGTCTACAGGTTTTGAAGGAAGTTAGAAAAAACAATGACACACCAGCAGCCAAAATGCCAGAATAATTAAAACATTAAACCATATTATTGTGCCATATTACTATTCTATTATCAATTATTATACAGTATTCCATATATCTCAAATGACCATGTGAGAATCTCATAGGCCATTCCCATTAGTTTCTGAGAAGGACAAGTTGCTCATCTGACACAGAAACAGCCACCAAGAAACCCAACAGTCCCCTGCCTTTCCCACAATGCCTCCCTAACTCTCCTGCAAGGCACCAATGATTACTGACACCACATGAAAAAAGTGGAGAGGGTAGATAGGCATTCTAAGCAAAATTTTCAGACTCTATTCAAGAAGGGGATTAGCTGAGAGCCTGAGGAGAATATTCAGCCCACCTCAGCTTGTAGACAAAATGGTGGAGGGTGCACTATGCCTTGAGTGGCAGAGCCACCCACAGAAATGACCGTTTCTTCCCACCCAGCCTCCCAGAAGCCCCACAGCACAGCAATCCCCACAGTCTTCAGCCTATTCCATCACAGAAGGACAGAGAAGGGCCGAGGGGGTGACATTGCCACACACCAAAGAATTCAGACTTCCAAACTCATGTCTTCATGCGTATCTCTTATAAAAAGGACTACAAATTTGCTTGTGCTTAAACAATTAGCCACAAACAAGAAGATTTTAGCAGATATTTTACAGATACCTAACAAAAATGAAATAAAAAAAGGTTTTTGTGTATTATTTTGTTATACAGTAGTCTTAAAAGAAAGTGTGACGTCATATTGCAAAAATAGCTGAAGATGACACAAAATAATTTATATAAAGTTTAACAGAGCATTGTTAGCATAGAGATTATTAATAAAACTATATTCCTGAGCTAGAGCAGACAAGAAGGCAGACGTTCCAACTACTATAACTCATGGTGCACTGGGAACAAGAAAGGAGAGACAGAGGCAAGACTCACCTGAAATACTGTCAGCAATGCTTGAGGAAAGTTGTCGAAGGTGCTTCGCTTAGTCTGCGTTTCGTCAAAATTAAACTTGCCACCAAATAGCTGCATCCCAAGTAAGGAAAAGATGATAATGAAGAGGAAAAGCAGAAGCAACAGTGAAGCGATGGACTTCATGGAGTTTAACAAGGATGCCACCAAGTTGCTCAGGGAAGTCCAGTGCCTGTAAGTAAAGATGAGGGTATGAACCAGGAACACCACCTGGCCAGGGTGGTGTCAAACCTGACCACCACCTCCTGCTCAGAATACAGCTGTGGCACAAAACACATACCTGGTCACTTTGAAGATTCTTAAGAGGCGTACACACCGGAACACAGAGATCCCCAGTGGAGACATGATCTCCAGCTCCACCAGGATGGTCTCAGTAATCCCACCACATACCACAAAGCAATCAAACCGGTTGAAAAGAGAGACAAAATATGCTTGGAGACCCAGACTGTACATTTTCACCAGCATCTCACAGGTGAACAGAGCCAAGAGGACTTTGTTAGCAATATCTGCAAAGACAAAGGGCACACATCCTCAGGATCTCAATGTGGGAGATGCTCTAGCTCCACTTCTCCTGGTACCTCCCTCCCACTGGTCTCCACAGTAAACACAGCAATCCCTGTTCGTATCTTTGCTATTGTACACATGACAGAAGTGTGGCATTGATATTGATGATCTGTTCGTGTGCCAGGTGCTGGATCTGGTACTGCCACTGCCTAGATTTGAGTTGGGAGGCATTTCTTGATTTCTCTGGGCCTCGCTGACTAAAAGTGAATGGTTCCACATAATTTCTGGAATTTCACAGCACTAAAAGCACGTGGTTCTGCACTCAGAACATCATTTTATATATAAATATATATATATATATATTACATATCTATTTTTTAAATCTACATAAACCAACCTATCTGTTTGAGTTTATGGCACCCTGAGAGAAGTGATCATTTTTCAATAGCATTTCAAACAACAGGAATCACTGCCATGTAGGCTTGAGAGACAGAGAAAACAGATGTAAGAAGAACTTTTGGAGAACCCCAAATGCATGGTAGACTGTCTCTCCACACACTCCATTTTTGAGCATTCCAAGATGGGTAGCCAATACCATGTGTTAAAAAACAAGGATCCCAACTGGGTCAGAAAAAATGTCCTTCCAACTCCTTGACTCCAGATCTGAGGTTATCTGAAGGTTAGGACAATAATCAGTTTATCACACCATACAGACTGTGCCCCTGCTCCAGGGCCTGCCTGTATTTGGATGGTTTTACCATTTTCCAAGTTAGTGCTCACTAGATGTTTCAGTACTTCATTGCATATCCATCAGATTACACTAAGCAGCAGTTAGCCACAAGGAACCAACTCAGAGTAAAAAAGAGAATAGCTTCACTTGTACCTTGAATCTGTGTCAACCAGTCCGGCTGATTGTAGTGCTCAGAGGAGATGGTTAAAGTGTTGAGAAACACCAGGACAATAACTAGCCAGTAAAATGTGACAGACTTCACAGCAGCCCTACATCTTCTGCGATTGAATCGGTTCCAGCGACGCCAGCGTCGGCTGAAAGATAAGCAAACATTGCTCCCTAGATGACAGATATAGCATCTTACAGTCCAATAAACTATACTGAGCAACAGAGATTTGGACTGGGGTTAGGAAGGAAGGAAAGTCAAAGAAATAAATAGACCTCATAATATAAATCATGTCACTCTTAACATACAGCTTTAAAAGTATGATCTTGACTTGATTGTGCCATGTGTTTCTTTGCTATGGCTATAAATAACTCCAGAATCTGCCATCTTGAAAAACCTAGATAATTATAGATTCATGTGCAGATGTAAAACTGCACCTGCACACATATGTAGTTTATATGCCCACTATATGGCATGCGGATTTGTGGTATGGGTATAGCTTATATATATCTCAAGTGGCAGCTCAATCATCATACAGAGCATACAGAGTTCATTCAACAGAAAAGTACTTCCAAACTATACTTTTGTTTTGAGGAAGTCTTTCAGTTTTTTTTTTCTCAGACTTTCAGGTTCTTTCAGAGCCTGGCAGTTGAGTCACCAGGTGCCCTTTCTAATGAATGATGCGCAAAATACACCTTTAGGGAAAGATCCAATATTGAACTAGCACAGCCAAACAGATACAAAGCCATGTCTTCTGCCCACTTCTAGTTCCTGTTTGCAATTAGGAAAAATATTCTCCTTCTCAGCCTGTCCTTATGGAAAACACTTGTGGCCACAAGGGGATGGTTTGGTGAAGTGCTCCATAAACTGCTGCTCATCAATCTGGATCTCAGGACAGAGCCAGCCCCATGGTTAAGTCCCTCCTCACTCAAACCTGCTGCCTCAGCCACAGGGCTGTGGAGTAGTTCCTCCAGGGATTCAATTCAAGAGGAAAATCCAGGCTGCATCCATGTTGCATTTCTGGCTGACTTAGCTGTGTTGTTAGACTTAAAAAAAAAAAAAGAATACCTGGACATGATTAATTAAACAGCAATCTAAACATTCACATAGTGAGAATAAAGAGGATATTCTTAGGAGAGGATCTCAAGGGCTCAATAGCTATGTGTATAAGATAATATAAAATGATGTTTATTTGAAATGAACCCAAAAAAAGGAAGAGGTTTTGTTTATTATATTGTTTGTAGTCCTTTTCCTTTTTTTTTTTTTTTGTTGGTTGTGAGGCTTAAACTCTGGGCCTGGGCGCTGTACCTGAGCTCTTCAGTTCAAAGTGAGCACTCTACCACTTGAGCTACAGAGCAACTTCCTCTTCTTTCCTTTTATCTTTGATTTATTCCCTTCTGTCACTGTTTTTTATTTCTATATCCTTTGTCTTATTAGTTTATCTGTTTTGGGGTGGGGAAAGGGAAGCATAGAAACAGTGGGGCAAAAGGGAACTCTATTGCATTGTTGGTGGGAGTGTAAACTTGCTCAAGCACTTTGGAAAGCAGTATGGAGGTTCCTCAAATGACTACACAGAGTGCTCCCCTATGACCAGCAATCCCATTTTTTAGCCTTTACCCAAATGATCACAAACAAGGCTATACTAAAGCTACCAGTACAACTATGTTTATCACAGCATTATTTACTATAGCTAAGATATGGGACCAACCCAGATGCCCCTCAGTAAGTGAATGGATCAAGAAAATGTAATACATGTGTGTGTGTGTGTGTGTGTGTGTGTATGTATGTATGTATAATGGAAAATGGAATTCTATGCCTCAATCAGAAAGAATGATACTGCCTCATTTGTTAGAAATGGAAAGACTTGGAAAAAATTATATTAAGTGACGTAAGCCAGGCCCAAAGAAACATAGGTCTCATGTTTTCCTTTATCTGCAATAACTAGTATATGTCTGGGACAAACAGAAAAGGTCAAAAGCTATGTACATATGACCATATAAGATGATGCTAAGTAAAATGAACCTCAAGATAGGGACACAAGTGGTTTTATCTTTCTTGCTATTGTTTTTAATGTATTTATAATGTACCATGTGATCTTTTTTTTGTTTCTTTTCTATGTTCTTCCTCCATGGTATAACCTCTGTTTGCACTGTATTTGATTCTGGTGCCTTGCATCTTGTATATACATTTTTCTAATTTGGGGAGGGGAAGTAAAATACTGAAATAAGGATACAGGTAGCAATGAGATGTACAAGACACTATGTTGAAAACGAACTTTACAACTTCAGTGGGGGGGGCGGGGGGAGGGGAGCGGGGTTGGGGAGGTGGGGAGGGAAGGGATGGTAGGGGAAAAACAAAGGAGGAAGTAACAATGCTCGATAGAAAATGTACTCATTACCTTACTCATGTAACTGTACAGTATTTTTACAATAAAAAAAAGAAACAGTGGGACAAAGGGTGAACCAATTCAACAGTGAAACCCTCTAGACACTAGATTGAAAATGAACTATACAACTTTAGGAAGAGAGAAATAGGGAGGGGAAAAACTGGGACAGAATGAGGGAAGAGTGACATTGTTCAAAAGAAAATGTACTCATTACCTGACTCATGTAACTGTAACCCCTCTGTACATCACCTTTACAATAAAATTTTTAAAAAGAAGAAGAAGAAATGTAACCAAGAAAGTGAGCAAAGATAAAGCTGTACTACCTCCTCCTTAAGATGTAGATCCAGCAAGGTGTGTTCTGTGTTTGTTCTTGCTGCTGTGCAGTTTTCATTGGAAAAGCAGCTAGAGGCATGAGAACCAGCAAGAAAAACTATGCCAAGGACTTGCCAAGGTCTCTAAGATTCTAGGAATGCTTAACTCAGCACCTGCAAGCAAGGTGGTCTTGAAAGACCACCTGCCTTGTTCTATCTTGCACTGTAACAACAGGCAAAAGTATCTTCCACACTCAGAAGACCTTAATGCCCTTCTTTTGCAAACTTTCAGGACCCTCAGCTTGCTCCTCATTGGGCTCTGAATGGCCAGTTTAGTCAAGCCTGTTCTCCCAAGGAAAGAACACTCCTGAGCACTATGTGCCTGGTGCCAAGTACACAGAGACAAAGAAGGCACGGTATTAGGGTCCCTGACCCTGAAAAGCACATGAGATCAAAATAAGTAATGATGATAAATTCACAGCAAGTGTTAGCCCCAGATTCTAAGTACAGGAGCAAGGAGAAACAAATCCTCTTTGTTGGTACTGGGGTTTGAACTCAGAGCTTAATACTTGATAAGTAGGTACTCTACCACTGAGCAATGCCTCTAGTCCTAACACAGATGCTTTGTGGAAAAGTCAAGGAAGATTCTTCTGAAAAGTAGAGATTTGGGCTGGATCTAAACAAATGAATGAAAATTTCCTGGAGGCAGTTAAGGACAATCCATCCAGAGGAGATTGCATGGCCAAAGGTACTGAAGTGAGATAAACCAAGAAGCAGCTTTGAAAACAGAGAACAGTCCAGCATAACTACAAAGTGCGGAAAACGGGATGTTAATGTTGAGGCAAAGGCCAGATTCCACAGGCATTTCTATGGCTTTTGGTAACTGCAAACACACAACTTTTTTTGTCGGTCATGGGGCTTGAACTCTGGGCCTGAGCGCTGTCCCTCAGCTCTTCAGCTCAAAGCTAGCGCTCTACCATTTGAGCTACAGCGCCACTTCCTGTTTTTTTCCACTTCCGGTTTTTCTGGTGGTTTATTGGAGATAAGAGTTTCAAAGACTTTCCTGCCTGGGCTGGATTTGAACCACGATCCTCAGATCTCAGCCTCCTGAGTCTCTAGGATTACAGGCGTGAGCCCCTGGAGCCTGGCTAACATACAATTTAAAATTTTTTTTTTTTTATTGTGAAAATACTGTACAGAGGGGTTACAATTACATGGGCAAGATAATGAGTACATTTCTTATCAAGCATTGTAGGCTCCTCCTTCGTTTCCCCTTCCCATCCCTTCCCCCCTCCCTCCCTCCCCCCGTTCCCCCACCCAATCCTCCCCGCCCCGCCCCCCAAAGTTGTAAAGTTCGTTTTCGACATAACGACTTGTGCTTCTCATTGACATACAATTTTTTAAAGTTAGGTTTGAGACATAATTTACATATGGTCAAATTTACTCTTTGTAGACATATAAACAGAACAAGGATTCATTTTAGTGTGACAGTGCTAAAATGGGGAAAATACAATATCTCTTAACTCCCCTGCCAGAATTGGGAGTTTAAGACTCCAGAACATAGAGCATTTCTATCTCAAAAACGTCAAAAGCCCACCTTCTTCTCCAGCCTGGTGACTACTGATCTGTTTGCCTATTGATTTGTTCTGAAATACTGAAATACTTTGGAGATTTACCCATGGTGTTACCCATATAAGCAGTTTTCTTCTTGTTGCTAAGTAGTATTCTACCATATGGAGAAACCACAGTTGCTCTACCCATTCATCGTTTGATGGACATTTGGGTTACTTCCCGTTTTGAGTACATATGAAAAAAAAACGGCTATAAACATTTGTGTAACATTTTTGTGTTGTGTGGGCATGTATCTTCATTTCTCTTATATAAATACTTAGGATAGGATTGCTAGGCCATATGGTAACTAATGTTTAAAATTCATAGAAACAACTAAATTGTTTTTTCAAAATAGCCCTGTTGTTTATTTAACACATCCACTTGCACTGTATAAAAATATCCATTGATCAGCACTTTTGTCAGAACTTGTTATTGTCATATACTTAAATCGGATCCACCCTGATAGGTGTACAGTGGTGTATAATTGTGTGATTTTGCATTTTCATAATGAATGGTGGTCACTTCACATGCTTACCACCCATATCTTTCTTTTGGTGACATTCCTGTTAAAACCTCTTGTACATTTTTTGTTATTGACATTTTATTGTTATTTATTATTATTATCCTCATACATAAGATATATATTCACATTTATGTATGATATATATGATACTAACCTTTTATCAAATACAGTCTGTAAATATTTTATCCATGTCTATCTAAAGTTTGTCTTTTTATTTTATAATTAAATAAAAGCAAATATTTTCATTTTGATGGTAAACAGTTTCTCAAATTTTTGTGTCAAGCATTGGGCAGTGTATCTTAGGAAAATTTTGCCTAAACCAAGGTCACAAAGATTTTCTTTCCTTTTAAAATTCTTAGTTTTTACAATTTATATTTAGTACAATTGTCCATTGTCTGTATTTAGCAGGAAAATGTTTCTAATTAGAAAGTAAAACATACCAAAAAGTACACTAAATAAGGCACATGGCTCAATCACTTTTGTCAGTCGAACATGTAACTTGCATGCAGATCAAGAAACTATATATTATCAGAACCCTCTTCTGCAGAAAACTTTGCTGTTTTGGGGTGACAAGATGTATATCTTATAGACATGAATGAAATGATCAGGAGGCAAATTATTGTTCGTTATTCTGTCCTGTTGGTTTGAGGCAGCTGATTCTACTATGTTGCTCCCCTAGGCAGGCTCAGAACACTTAATGACTAAATTCAGTATGGATGTTGTAATCCATCGAGTCAAACTTAGGTCAAGAGAAACAATTCTATATGAAAGATAGAACTTAAAACATAAAAGCTCACATACAAGCTCAAAAAAAATAATAGAAGATACCAACCTGAGTTTAGATTTTGAGATGGCTTGACTGGAAGAAAAGAAAAAAAAAAGTTAAGATTTTGATTTGGAAGGCTTGAGCAAAGTGTTGTCCATCACTTCTTCAGTAATGTTGTTAGAGCCATGCACAGAAGCCTGGACTTGGTACCTCAGCGGCCACAGCAGGCCAGGAGGATTCAGCGAAGAGCAGATACCAAGGTGCTGCCATTACCAGGCCATAGGGCTGAGCACACTTGAGGGCCCAGGCAAGAGAAGATTCTCAGCTACATTCTCAGAGCACCCTGGCAACAGCACCAATGCTAGGGCTTCTTCTCTTGCCACTCCACTCAACAGCAGTATCACTGCTACTGTTAGAAAAGGAGCACTGGACCAGGAGTCCTGGCTCTGTCACTAGCTAGTGAATTATAGCAAAACAGCATGCCTTTGAGCCTCAGTGTTCTCATCTGTAAAACGGGGCAAGGACAAACTCATTCTCGGCTTACTTCATGATGTTGTATGTAGGAAGGACAGAGCAGAACAGAGACAAAAATCACTTCAAAGGAAGTGGCACTGTGGCTCAAGTGGTAGACTGCTTGCCTTGAGCTGAAGAGCTCAGGGACAGCACCCAAGCTGAGTTCAAGCTCCATGACCAACCAAAAGAAAATCACTTCATAAACTGTTCTACTCTACCATAATGTATCATTTTTATGAAACTCTACCAAAAATAAGATTAAGCTCTCTTAAAAATGACACCTGTAATTTATAGAGATAAGACATAAGGATGCTGGCAGAAAGCAAACCAAACAGCACGGGGCTTCCCAAAGCAAGTAGTTCTCAGCACACGCCTGCCACTCTCCCCCCAGATCCCTACTGCTGCAGCCCAAATCATCCAGTGGTGTTAATGGGATGGCATCCTTCATGGTTAGGACGGAGTGGTGCAGGGTTCCAAAATAAGGGTGCCATGAGCAGAAGAGGGTAGCATCTCTGCATCCAGCCACAAGGTATGGGGTTGGGGAGGCCCAATGAAGGAAAGCAACTCTGCCATTCAAGCTCCTCCTCTGAAGCACAAATACCACACCAGACTGGAAGGAGAATTCGGTTTTACCCCCACCGCCGACACCCTGAGGGCCCAGTCTTGGCCGCGCCTCTTCTTTTCCACCAGCACCTAATGAACACAGCGGGGGGCCTGGGTTAACTGGCCCCTTGGGTAACTCATTTCCCACTAAGAGGCTTGTGAAACTCTGGGGTTCTGGAATCTGGTACAGGAGGAAGGGGTCCACCTTCCATCTGCCCATAGTCTTAGAGTTTCACTGCGATCTGGAGTGACTTCTCACCCTTAGCTTCTCTAGGACAATATGAGTACTGGGGTGGCAGGGGAAGTGGGGAGAGGAAGGGAGTGGTCTCCACACTTACCAGAGACTTCCACAGCAGCCCTGTGCCTCGCCTTCACCACTTACATTCTCGGTGTTCACAGATTCAGTCTCACTGGTAGGCATGCTAGCTGTAGGGAGAAACAAAGGATTTAGAGAGCATGCTGAACAGGGGGTGGGCCAGACCCTCAGGAACTGGAGAAGAGGGCAAAAAGCATCCTCAGAGGCATGCCTCACCCCAGGAAGTGCTGAGTAGTCAAGCTTCCCCACTGCAGGCAAGCTTTTGCTTCTAGAAGCTGCTGAGAGAGCTAAGTCCACCTCCTGGTGGACCAGAGCCTTCCCAAGAAAGGAAGCTTGAGAGCCAAACAGAATCCTGCAGTGAGGCCTGGAGCAGGCCTATTTGCCCTGTCTCCAGGTTACTCTGAGAAGCTACCCAAACATCTCAGTTATGGGTACACTTCTGCTGGTACCATAGAGGTGCCAGAGAATAGATAACTATACTAAATACCTCACATACAGATTAGGTTCAACACACTGAAGGAGAAGAGCTATTAAGGACAGTGAAGGGAATGCATGAAGGTACCATGTACACCATCTTTTTTTAAAAAGCCAGGAACTCTGCTCATTTTTAGCTAAGTCATTAACATCTAAAGTTCTGCTGAACTTCAAGCCACTAGTTCTTTCCAAAGAAGACAGTGCTAGAGTACCAAGAAAGATGTCTTAGGGCTAAGGAGAGGGGCAGGAAAAGAAATTCTGCCAACCAATGAGCTGGGTAGTGTTGGCTGTGTTTTCAATGTCACTGAGGTCTCTGGACCTCAATGGGGCTCCCTTTTCCATGGCAAGATTCTGAGCAAATGTGGGGGAAATGTACAGATGTACCCACCAGTATCTGGAGGTCCGGAGACTCCTCCTAGGACCACCATTTGACCCATGGGTCTCTTCTCTCACCCACCTGGAGGTGTAAGAGACAGACAACTCCCCACAGGTTCATTCATTGTCAGAACACCCACTTCACTGTTGTGTATAAGAGATGACTGAGCCTGCTGTGGGGTGAGAGGCAGTCACACAAGATCAGAAACATGGAAGAATCACCCAAACACATGGTCTTCCTGGTACAATTGTGAGTTGTAATGACAGTTCGTCTGAGACCTTACAGTAGCAGCAGGAAAGCATCCCTCTGAGGGCAAGTGACCCCTCTTAGTGAAGATACCTCCAGTCTGCAAAAATGGTAGTGGTGCTTAAATGCTATGACAAACACTGAGGCCCAGTCCAAACTGGCAAGGGAGACAACCGGGGTTAACTTCTCTCTGAGGCCATATGGCTGCCAATCTGGCTCAGGTCACAGCCAAACTAAAGTTAACGATGATGATGACAATGGTGAACCCAGAAGTCTGAGAAGCAAGTTTTTCTAGGGTATAGGAGATCCATTTCCTCTTGTGAGCACACAAAGAACTGAGCTTGCCTCCGTGGGAGCATTAATAGCCTTGTCTAGGTGCAGGTTTCAGAAGCCAAGACCATATGAGTAGGATACCTATCACACTGCTAGTACCCAGAACAGTCTTTTAAGTTTAAAGAAGCTAACTTCAAGCCAGGAGCTGGTGGCTCACTCAGGAGACTGAGATCTGAGGATTGTGGTTCAAAGCTAGCCTGGGCAGGAAATTCCATGAGATCTTTATCTCCAATAAACCACTAGAAAACTGGAAGTGGTGCTATAGCTCAAGTGGTAGAGTGCTCAGCTCATCTGAAGAGCTGAGAGACAACGCCCAGGCCCAGAGTTCAAGCCCCATAGCTGATGAAAGAAAGAAAGAAAGACAGAAAGAGAGAGAGAGAGAGAGAGAGAGAGAGAGAGAGAGAGAGAGAGAGAGGGAGGGAGGGAGGGAGGAAAAGAAAGAAAGAAGGAAAGAAAGAAAGAAGGAAGAAAGAAAGAAGGAAAGAAGAAAGAAGAAAGGAAGGAAGGAAGGAAGGAAGGAAGGAAGGAAGGAAGGAAGGAAGGAAGGAAGAAAGAAAGAAAGAAAGAAAGAAAGAAAGAAAGAAAGAAAGAAAGAAAGAAAGAAAGAAAGAAAGAAATCTTTACCAGTACTCCTGAGGAGGGGTAGTGGACAGGGAAGGGACAGAGAAAGACAAAAAAATATCCACCATCCAATCATAGGAAACATTTTAACAAAGAACTCCATTAAGATACACATTCACCCTTTCTTACCACTTCTTCCTCTATCTTTCTCCCACCCCTAGAGCATATATAACTCAGTTTTCCGGGTTTTTCAATGCTCTGACTTCAGCAGGAAGACTAGATTGTGAAAGTCAACAAAACTGATTATTGTAGGACCTTCTCATAATGTTCCCCTTCCCCACAGAGACTGGACAAAGAAAAGCACAGCAGAAGACCCTCTGTAAATCCCCACAGGAGTGGTGTCTTTGTGCAGTCTTTGATGGTTACTTCAGTGACTAAGGTAGCCAGAGGTTGAGGCAGCACAAGGTTTGGTTCTGCCCACTCTCCTGAAGACATCTGCCTCTTTCCAGGCTAGTTTCCTACAAACAAAATGGTGATGTCAATTCCATCATCATTTCTAACTCTGTTAAATATCTCAAATACCTAATATTAATCACACAGAAACAGAATTCTTATTTTTATTTAAGAGCGAACTTTGGAATAGACTAAATCTTTGTGGCTTTTACTGTCTGGGGTTATAGCTCATGGTGATACCAGTACTGTGGTTGTATTTTATTCCTAAAGCTTCGTTTTTCAAACACTCTGGTGGAAGGGAGAGGGACACATCATTTGGTACTTCTGGATTGTGTCAATTATTAGTGAATAAAACAAAGGGGAGAAAGATAAGAAAGGAAAGCCAATTCTACTGACAGTGACTGAGTGAGGCTGACAGTTGTCTGTCCCTGACTCTGGCTGCTCCAAGGATGAGGAAGACATTCTTGCTCTCTCAGCTGACTCCATTCCCAGGTGTTGTGGGAAAATGCTGAGTGCAGGTTCCTAAGTTGGCTAGACCTGAGTTTGACCTCATATTTCTTACTCAACTTCATCAAATCAATACTTCCTCATCTGTAAGTGAGGAGCTCCTACCTCCTCATGAGCTGTAAGTAGCATTGAATAGGGCGAAGTACAGCGTGCCAGGTCTCCAGCACTGGGTATCAGTGTGGACTCTTAACAATCAGCTCAGAGAAACTCACCTGGAGCTCTCTGCAAGCAAAGTGACCCAATCAAGGGTCACTTTGCCCTGACTGCTACAATCACTGCACAGAAGTATAGAGTGTGAACAGGAGTCCACACATCTGAATCAGCTTTGGCCATCCCTCTTCATTTGTATCATTTTCTTTCTTAAACTGAGTCACAGTCTAACTCAGCCTGTTGTAGGGGCAGTGACTTTGCCGTCATTACTTGACACCTACAGAGTCACTGGCACATAATAAATAAATCGTTTCCAGAATGATGTTGCCAGGCTAGGGAGAGGACAAGGACAGTGACTTGCTAGAACTGGGCCACCTCATTTAGTTCTGGAGACAGACACTCATCTGGGTGGAAGCCCTAGATTGTTGTCGGCTCCAAGAGGGATCCTGGCAGCTTTATGATCTGTTGCTACCCCACATTCCTCAACACAGGAGAAAAAGCAGTTACTTTTCCAACAGGCCCAGTGAGTAGAACCAAAGACCTTGCTTGAAAATTAAGACATTTTGCCTTTCAACTGTGCTAGACGTTCTTTTTTTTTTTTATTGTTAATCAATTGATATGAGTCTTGCTTCATTTAACCGCAGTAGAATTTCATATGCATTAAAAAAAATCAGGACACACGAATCATAAACTGGTAGTACTTGAAGAGGTCCAGAAAGCACATTAACAAACTCAGATTTTACAGATAAGAGCTGGCCAGCTTTTCTATGGATGCACAGTTCACATGTAAGAAAGCTCTACTGATTCCCAATGGGTGTTCATTTCACATGGAGTGGCATCCCCACAGTTTTGGTCTACACATAAATATATTGATATATGTGTTGCTAATAGATACCTAAAGCTCCACAAATCAGAGGTTCCAAAGCCAAACAAACCTCTTAACTATCCACATATGTTTGCCATACTGATCTGTGATGACACCTAGATAAGCAGACCACATCCAGGAGCTCAGATCAGCAAACTGGAGACAGTACAAATACGAAAGTGCACTGGTGACAACTAGAACTAAAAAAAAAAATCAAACGAGAAATAAGTTATAAAAATTCATCTAAATAAACTCACAGGTAATTTTCTAGAACAAAAGCCCTTCTCCTAACCACTGCCATGGTACCATGGCTGCTCCATGCAGAGTTACTAGTCTATCCCTTCTAGGAGGGACTTGGTATTAACCGTTGACAAGTGTTTTGCAGGAAGGCCCCTCATTTCTCCCATATAATCTTCAGATGCAGTCCCTCCTACAGAAATACACCACAGCCACCTGAATGGGGAGAAGTTCTAAGTCCTTTCCCCAACACATTCTAGAGGACTTCTGGACTTTATGTCAGTTTCTTTCCTTCTATACAATGTAAAACTATTTTCAGTGCATCTGAGAGAAATCAAGCATTAGGACAAGCCAGCCATCTGTCATGGGATGCTGACTTGCATTGCAGTTTGTCCATTAACAATTTGGAGTAGCTTGGCACCTGTGCACTGCAATCTATTCTAGGCCCTGGGATCTCAGGGGAGAATTCCAGGCAAGACCCTAGGGCTTGTAATGTAGGTATGCTGAGAACTCTTGGTGCTGCTATGGGTAAGGAGATCCTGAGCTAAGGATGAGTTCCTAAAGCCTTTGGGGTATGGGCAGCTTGAGCTGGGCCTTACTTAGAGCTCTCTCTATGGCTGTTGGTCACATGTTTCTCTTTATAACCTTGCAGTACACCTGAATGTAAACCAGGACAACCAGCACTTTCATCAAGGAAAAATGATTTCTTCACCCACTTTCATGCTCAGGACAATCTGCCTGAATTCAGAGGTGTGCATATGTGCGTGCACACAATGCACACATGCATACACATACACACATTACATGAAGCTGTATATCTTCAAGCAAGTAGACTCAAAATAATGTTTACCATTAATAGGCATACCATTTCCTTCAGTGATGGAGGCTGATGGAGGCTAATGAGGTCA